GGGATGGTCCAAACAAAGACGATTGTTCCAATTCTATTGAGAGATTTCATTCCAATTCCTACCAACCAAATGCATGGTCAAATTCCATTCCAATTCCTTCAAAGTCAAATTCCTTTGAAGGATTCCAATTCCATCAAATTCCATTATGTGAACCAGACGCCCCCTTAGTCTTTTTATGGTGTGTTTCTTTTCTTCATATGTTACCGAACTAATTGTGATTTGGGATGTTAGTGATTTATGCCAAAAGAGCAATTTGGGGCCATGGAATTGTGCTGTGGAGATCATTTTGGTGCTTCTGTGGTTTCATCATCTATACAAGAGGTACCTCCATCCCATGTGCTTCAATTCTGTGGCCTTTTTTAATGATCCAATAGTTCCCAAATGCAGGAACACTGTGTTGTTATTGAATCTTGATGACCCTTCTTTTCTTGTTAATAGTTTGCTGTGTATGTGCCATTGTGAGATCCCTAGTCTTATTGAGAGAGAGTTTGAATTGCATCCTGAGATCCTTTTGGTATTGTGTTCTTGGTGTTGAGTATCAGTAAAATACAAAATGATTCCACCCACACCATCACTTGCAACATTCTCGATCATTAAAATGGATTGTTGGTAAGTGTTTTGTACCTGGTAAGGCTAATTGGATAAGGGGCTGTTTGGTTAGTTTATAATTAAAGTCTGTATGGATAAAGTTAGTTGTGCATGAGAAAAATGAGTAAAAGGACTAAAATGCCCTTGAATTAACGACTTTAAAATTGAAACTACAATGATCATATTTGTAATTAATTTGTTTGGAGTATTCAATCCATAATTTTAATATAACCAGAGAGATCAAATCTATAATTTACTTTATTTATATTTTATTATAAAACATTTGACAAAAACTCTTAAAAACTAATTTTTATGCATAAAGTACTGTTTATTTATGCATATTACTTAACATTGAAGATCACAAGTAAATTATGCGTGAGTACAACTTATTAAAGCTTAATTTTTGAATTTGGGTAACTAACTATAAATAAACATAATTAAATACGAGATAAACGTTTTCATTTTGTATAAAAAAAATCTAAAATATAATTAGTATAATCATTAATTATAACAAAAATATTTAATTATTATCTTTATAAAAAAATATATTATTAAAACGATAAATAAATTGCTTCGTTATTAAATCTAAATCTAAATTATAAATAAAATATTGAATTAAAAAAATTACACAAAAAACGAAAACTTTAAATAGTAAATTTGATACTATTACCAATATATATATTTTTCCAAATTTTTATGATATTTTTAAATTTATATTTTATTCAAAAATAAAAACATTATCTTTTTTTTCTCAAAACCACTAAAAACCGTATTATATCGACGAGGATAAATAATAAAAATAAACATTAAAATTGAGATACATCTCGCTATATTATGCGAACACCCTTCTATTAAAAATAAAGATACATTTGAAACTTAAAGTAGTTGTTTTTGAATATATTAACCATCGTTGTTGTTTATAATATATGAATCATAAATGAAAATTTCCTAAAAGTAAATGCTCACATTTTTATTTTAATTTGTCATAAAATAAGTATACACTTTGAAAAGTAAATTTACATTTTCCAATTTTAACCTTAATTTTGGTATGGAGAAAATTATTCTCTCTCATTAAGAGTGGATATGTCATTTAGTTATTTAAAAAGTGTAATAATTACATATTCTTAAAATTGTCTGTCATTTTCATTGTGGACACTTATTTTCGGACGGTAAGCGGTCATTCACCAAATGTTTACAAGGTAATCACTTTGGCAAGAGTCATTACTCTCGTTTGCCTTATGGAGTAATATTCTCAGCCATCAAAATGGATTGATGGTATACGTTTATACCTGATAAGCACTTATCAGGCAAGAGTCATCACTCTAACTTACGAGATAAGACTCTCGATCTCTGTCTTCCCTCTTATCAGGTAAAATTCTTTATCCTTATACATCCACGCGGTAAAGTAATTGAACCTGTAAACACTTACCAAGGTAAGTGTTTTAAACGACTCCTAGATTGATATGGGGATTTTGAATTTTTATAGTTAAAAGCATCCTTATATATATATATATATATATATATATATATATATATAACTATGATCGTGTTCATTTATTAAAAAACCCATGCTTTAATTTCTGTCTGCTTAATATCCTCCTAAAGTACCCTGCAACGTTCTCTCTCCTTAAAACCACGATTTGTTTCCCAAAATACATCATCTCCCTCTTCATCGATATATCTGTAAGAAATAGTTGATTGCATTTGATGAATTGACGCATGCTTGATTCATGGTCGATATCAGTAGCGATGGCTAGGATAACGATGAAGACATGGATAGAATAATGCTAAAAACATGTTGGATCTCGAACAAACAGAGGGCCCCGATCATAAGAATAAACTTTGAAAAAGTTGTTGTGACTTTAAGGACAATTGATCTTCCAAAGGGTAAAAAGGTGGGGAGTGTGAAAATGTCAATAGCTGCAAACACATCACATCCTTCTGTAATTCAGATCGATGAATTCTCGGTACCCCTAAGCCGCCAACAATGACCACCTACATTCCAAACACTATTTTAAGAAACAATCACATCAACCTCTAAACCTGGATGCAACAAACTAAGGCCAGACTTTAGTTGTTTTTGCTTCGAACCACTATCGTGATGTATTATCTTTGATGCAATTTAATGTTGCTCGATACAGAAGCCAAAAGGTATATACCGAGCATTAGCGGTCAACTTTCAAGTATCATATTAAACCTAAGTACGACTAATTTTTTTACAGGTTATTTTTGTAATAAACAATACAAATAAATTGTATCAGTTGTCGAATATTTAGCATATTTTCAAAGTATAAGAAGAGTAGAAACTCAAAATTCTCAGAGATAAATGAGAAGTTTTTATCTGTGATATATATATATATATATACATAGAGAGAGAGAGAGAGAGAAAGAAACAATGCTCGAACATGTACTGCATCACTATTTTTTTGTTCATTTTTTATCTGAAATAAACGCGACGTTTGAATTAATATGTAGCTTAAGCAAACATTTGAGTATAAATCTAAAAGCTGTAATTGTAACATATGCATCTCTTCAACAACTAATAATCTTTGAACTTTGTTGGTGAGTCTTTGGACTCGTTCTTAGGAGATCATGGGTTCAAAACTCATAAAACGTGAGAAGGGTGTGTGAATTTATTTGTTCTATTTACCGTATATAAATATTATATACTTCAAAAAAAAAAAGAGTCACATTTACCCGCTACAAAGGCACTATCATTTATATATATATATATATATATATATATATATATATATATATATATATATGCATATGTATTCATTTTCATCATCGTATATATGATATCAGCTTACTTTTGGTAACAGTACAATACAATTTTTATCTTGTTTTCTGTCATGACCTATTTTATTAGTTTGTGATATTCATTTATAACATCATGTTTATTTAAACTGTAGACAATTTGAATTTTTACGAACAACTGTATACAATGTGGCAAAAATCACACAAATATAATGCTGAAACTAACAATTGAAAAAGTCGTATTGATTATATACGAGACAATCTGCCACAAAGGGTTGTTTGGCAGTTGCCGAATGGTTTGGTGCTGAATGACTAAGAGACTCTCATGATATAGTGCAAAATGAATTATAATTGTTTTGCAATTGTTTACAATGAAATTAGGGCGCTTGAATGGTTATGGATGCCCATGATACAAAATCATTCAGAGGGTTTTAGAACCATTATAAAACAATTTTTTTTTTGCCAAACAAGATTCACTTTTTAACAATTCAGAGATTGCCTCTTAATTGAACTATTAAGAAGTAAATAAACAACTCTTAAATGTTTGTTATCTTAGTTAGGTCTGTATATAAACCTAAAATCTCTGTATCATTATCTTTAATAAATATAAGAGTTTATTTTCCTGAATCTCGAGAGACAATTGTTTGAAAAGTCTGGTATTTTTTGTAACGTCTCAAGTTCAAAACAATATTCGATTCGAACATATTAATTATAATAAAAATATTAACTTGTTGGATTGGCCAAAACATAGATGGCATAACAACAATAACAATACAAGGACTGAATATGTAAATACTCGAAAGTATAGAGGTGTATTTGAAATTGCTGAAAATTCTAGCAAAGATAGAGGTAGAAGGAAACATTGGGAAAGGCTAATCTCACAGCGGAACAAATCCGACATTCCGTGCAACTACCCCTGGATCAAGACCATTACACCCTTGACTCCGGAGTAAAAAGTCGAGGATGAGAAGGGCATTAGCGTCATTTGACAACGAGGCAAAAGCGTCCAATTTCCAACAGATATAGATAGAGACACAGCTCCGTTACCAATTGTGCGTGTTTTCTCTGTGCGTCTGAACTTCAGCCTCCGTGCTGTGTGTGAGAGCCGCGATCGGATCCTCTAGTGATCCGTCAAAGCAAAAATCTTTGGAACATCAAACCCTAGCATAGCATTCTCCGTTGATTAGTTGTTGGAATTTCAATCGCGTTATCCCCCAATTTTGATCGTGTTTTTGGGTTTTGATTTTTAGATATACAATATCGTCGATCAACTTATCGACATAGAACCCTAATTTATATCAATCGTATTCGGAAGAGATTGAATTTGAGGGTTGTTTTTTTCGAATAAAACCCTATGGCTGCCATGAACGTTCAATCTGGCGACGGTGGGCTTAACAGCCCTACTACGCAGCGAGGGGTTGCATCGGCGTGGAGTCAGATTGTCCGCGGTGGCGGCGGTGAGTCAGAAGTGGTTTCTCCGGTTTTAGTGGCGACCGTTGGTTCTGCTCCGGCGGTGCCGGTTCCTGCTCCGGCATCGCCGTCGTGGTCATCGTTTCAGGAGCATGCTAGTAACTTCTCTCCCGATTGGTCTCCGAGTAAGGTGGTGCAGGAGGCGGTCAGCTCTCCGGATGATTCGGGTACAGAGGGTCAGCCTGATGGTTCTGATAACAGCGGCGGTAGTAATGCCTCTAAGAAGCCCGTTTGGAATAGACCATCAAATGGAGTTGTGGAGGTCGTCAGTCCTGTCATGGGTGCAGCTTGGCCTGCGCTCGGTGAGTCCACTAAAGCTTCCCCTAAATCCTCTTCATCGGAGTCCTTAAAAGCCCTTTCAGATGGTCCGCTGCCGCCTGCATTACAGGTAGTAGTACTTTTATCATGTTCAGCATAACATTACCGTTAAATATCTAATTGATTGTTTCATCTGTAGGAATTTGGCAAATTGAGGCTCTCTTGAATATATGGATAAGCTCAATAATGTTTATAGCTCAACATTTGAATTCAAACATGTCTGCACATGCTTTCAAATTTAGGATACTTGTGCATTATAAGTTTGTCTACATAGGAATTAGGATGTTCTCACCATCTTACATATCCATATATTGCTATTTAGAGTCCTGGTTTTTTGGTTTGGATAGTACCCTTAATAAGTGAAAGGGCCTCTGTTTATTGAAAAGATAAAACTAGCCACATGTTGAAAGCGTAAAAAAATGGTTAGATGATTAAATGTTGTGCATACACAGTATTTGATGTCATGTTGAAACACTGGGGATATTGGTATTAGTTTTCTTTTCACCTTTTTATATTGGATGTGTTTACCAGTATACACTTCATCTTGTGTGTGTATATGTTTGTTACATTGTAGGTGACTGGAAATTCGTCTCCATCACAGAAACAGGCTAGTGCTAATAACGTGAATTCTACTTCAACTCCAAACCATGTGGCACCAGCAAGGCAGAGGTCCATGAAGCGAGGAGGTGGCATTTCTAGTGCAAATGTATCAGCTAATGGAGTGGTTTCTCAGCAGCCACCAATCAACCAGGATTCAGTAGCGGAAACTCTACATAGTACATCTGGGAAACCTGGTACTGCTGCTGAGCAGCCTTCTCCAAGAGACCATACTCACAAGGATTCACAAAGAGGAGGCTTTGGGTCACAATCTCACAGTGGTAATGATCATCATCATCAACGGGGTTCTTATAGAAGGGGCAATGGCGGGCAACATCTGCGAGATGGTTCTTATCATCACAACTACGGAGGGAAACGAGATCACGATCGTGGGAATCAAGAATGGAACCAACATAGTAGGAGCTTTAATAATAGAGATACACACTTGCAGTCTCAGAGAGGTTTCTCCAGGGGTTACATACGTCCCTCTGTACATACTTCTGCCCCATTTATTCCTCCACCGATGCCTGTGCCAGTGCAGTCCTTTGGCAACAATATGATGTACCCTGGTGAGGTTCTCTATCATCAAATAGTTATGCTATAAACGTTGTTGTTTTGCATGATGTTTAAATCCTCTTGCAGATGTGGCATCTCCTGTAATTTATGTTCCAGGTCCACCTCCACCAGATTCCCTGCGAGCTATGCCTTTTGTTGCACCATTACCGCCTCCAATGTACTTTGCTGTTCCTGATCCCCAATTGCATGCTAAGATTGTGAGCCAAATTGATTACTATTTCAGGTACTTTATTTTTAAAATGTAAATTAAGCGGTGTCTTTTAAATAAGGCTAGGAAGTTTTTGTTTGTGGTGATGCTAAGATTTAATGGCTATTGTTTGATTGCAGTAATGAGAACTTGGTCAAAGATACATACCTGCGGAGGAACATGGATGAACATGGCTGGGTTCCTATTAGCTTAATAGCAGGATTCAAAAAAGTGAGTATTTTAGAATAATGCAATTCATTCATACACTTAGGACTTGATGCTTTGTTTCATATTAATAATGTCCATGTTTTTGCATTTTTCACTAAATCAGACATTTCTGCATCTTAAGAACTCAAACTTCACTGTATGGATGGACAATCATTGACATGTCTGGAGGATATTATATAGAATTCTGACTTATTCTTAAACCGAATATTTCAGCTTGAACATTTTGACTTGCGACGAAGGTAAGATTGGACAAGTTCAATACTTGAGATGAATTTTTCTTGAATCCGGTTTTGTTTCGATATCTTAGGTATTAGAGCCTATCAGTCTTCCATGTGATTTTTCAGAATTTTCTCATAAAGTTCTGTTCTCTATCAATAACTCGCGATAGTTTTCATGTATTAATTAATTCATGTAGATTATAATGCAACCTATTTTCTGTATTAACCCATACTTATGGATGTCTCATGTAACATTCATTTGAGAATCATATTCGATAATTAATGTCTTCAAACTAATGGCTACAATGGCCAAATGGGTATGTTGAATAATCTACTGATTTTCTTGTAGAAGTACAATGAACTTCGAATATATCTTGGGTCACCCTGCCTGTAAAACCATCTCCTTTTTTCTGAAGCTATTGATGCAACTTGGTCACAATACTTCTACTTTCTATGTGCTACGGCAAGCTACGTCGCTAACTCAACCGACAACACCGATTTCATCCCCCTCGTCAAAGTGGCTTAGTTGCATGCACGCTTAACATGTGACCCTTTTCATATTACTTTTTCTGTCTGAAGTTCAGATTTCTTATACAAAGAGGACGCCCATTAGCCCATGCATTTAATATGTTCTTTTACTAGTGTCCTTTTTTGCAAGTCACTCTATTGTTGTTTCGTCTTTGTTTTCCTCGTTTTATAGCCTACTTTATGCTTGTGTGCTTTAAGGGACTTCCTTTTGTTAATATTTAGCGTCTCGAATAATCTTCGTTTCCAATATGAATTTGAAAATTTGATGCTACCATATCACTCTAATCTCTTGAACAAGTTACAGTTTTGACATATATGTATGCTTAATTTGTTAATGCGTCAACTTTGTGTTGTTTTATGCACAGTAGTGTTGAAATTTCAAGTTACAAGATGATATTGTAAGTACTATGTTTTAAATGCCAGTTATATTGTCTGGTTGACCTCTACGTCATTTTTAAAGTGGTTATACTATCTTTTTGGAAATCATGAAGTTTGCTGGTTATACCATTTACTCACCTTTTTTAAAGTTTGTCTATATGAATGCCAAGGGCGTGTAATGGACAAGGAAGTCCATGATGACAGACACTGGACTGCATAGTTCCCAATTGTAATTATTAACCTGTGCTACCAATAATGAACTCGGAAGTTTGACAAGAACCTAGAGAAGGAAAACACAAAGGCATCTGAATCAAAACAACTGGAAGCATCCATATTTTATTGCTTACAGCCGAATTTTTAGCGCACTCACTTACTTTTACTTGTTCAATAGATGTCTGATCCTATTTTTCTTTTCTTTTCCCTCCCTGGGAGAGATTTCTACCATTACCCTGACATCTTGGTCTTTGATTGACAGCTTTTTGTATTTGAAAAGGTTTGCATTTATCTATTGGTCAATTTTTCAGATCATGATTTTTTTGCAGTAACAGTGTAACACCGATTAAAAAAAAAAATTTTGGGTTATTTACGAGTACCTGCAGCTGATTGCCAAAAGTAGAACATGAAGGGAAGCAAGTGACTAATGATGAAAGTAGATTTTATTCTTCCAATGTGGGGGAATTCTTCACTCTAGGCACTGTCTGAAGAGCCAGTATTATTCTGAAGCGTGTAGTTTTCTTCGTGGCTTTTAATTTAATAGAAAGTAAAGTTACCAGAAGTATGTTATTGAGTGTCATATGTCTGCTATCTTTTCACTGGATATCTGTATATTCTAGAGGGTGGCTCTAGTCTCTTAAGCCATGACATGGTATTAAAGGTATGGCCAAGTAGAGATCATGTATCTACCCATGTATGTATGTATGTGTCCATTTATAGTCATGTCCTATCTGTAACCTGATGATGGGAGATCGTTCCCATGGAAAATAATCATGTCAGAACTGGTGCATATGATAAATGTGTTTGTCTAAGGTTTTGCTCTTAGAGAGGCTTAATTCTATCTGGTACAAACAAGGTTTGAAAGCCAAAACACCTTCAAACCCGACATCATATAAATGGGACCCAGAAGATGAAAATGTTAAAGGCCCAATACAAATAGACTTTAACCTTTTGGATCCATTAGGTGGTATCATATTGCATTGACATTGTGTGGATGCTCTGCTTTCTGTACTTGAATATGCATAGTCTACTTGCGATCACAAAATACAGACTGATCATGACCTGAGTAATGGTGTTGGCCAGTATGGCAATTTGAGGGAAGTTGATAAATTTCTTTAAGGCTACAAAACATATTTATCCTCGTTAATCTATTATATTCTTCATTGAAGTATTTAGATAGGTGTGTCTTCTACCTTCTTTAGAGGCTACAAAACATATTCTTCCTCATTAATCTCTTATATCCTTCATTGAAGTATTGAGATAGGTGTGTCTTCTTTTGACAGGTTCCCTATAATATGCAATTGTCTTATTGTAGTATATGGACTTCGCTTGTAGCTTTTTGTCAAATATTCTGTAATTACTAAATAAGTCAACATTAGGTCTTGGTGCCTGATATTTTCCCTAGATAGATTGTCTTCAAATTCTCAGCCGCCACCTTCCCAACTATTGCTATCTGCAGCTGCAAGGAAATTCTGGAAGTGCTGGAAGAATTCCTCTGTAATCAAAGCAGATGATAGCAATCAATGGAACTTCATTGCAAACGAACTAAGAATCTAACACAAAATCATCAGCTGGTTTCTCAATCTCTTGTAGCATAGATGATGAGAGAGTTTTCTACTTCTTGAAGCTTTGACTGCTCAGAAAATAGCGAGTGTTTTGATCACCAGTTCAAGTCATCTTTATCTGAATTTCTTAATCAAAGGGTCCTCAAGCAGGACCCAATCAGCTAGGATATTTGCTTGAGAAACTTCCACTGAGCTACGGCATCATGCAGGCTAGGGACTTGGTTGTGGTTGGATATTCTGCAGTAATGTTGAGCCTCCTGAAATCCATCTTGGACAACTGTAATGCTCCTTATTCATCAGGATTTCCGAGTGGTGGTTTGAACTATTGACCTTTCAAACATGCTTGCACTTAAGTTTGCTTACAGGATTACAACCCATCTTTATTTAGGAATATGATTTATGCTTTTAGACCAGCAATTGAAGAACTATGGTTTAGGAGCATCTAGAGGGACCTTACAGAGTGTGTTTTGAGAATTGTAGACAAGCTAAAGCACTTGATTTAAGGTATGGAATACTCGAAGTTAAAGGCGTGGATGGTCAATGATGCAATAGTCATCTTATGTTGATCATGATTACCTTCTATGAAGAGGGAGAAGAGAAAATCTGGCCTCTCTTTAAGGATATTTTTACTTTTGAATACATATTTGAATTTGTAAAATTCTAGAAGTGATGACCATGGCAGAGGCATGCAACATAACCCCCCCCCCCCCAAAAAAAAAAAAAGAAGAAGAAGAAGATGGTATTGCTATCAATGTCAATGTGATCTTCAGTTCACTTTTAAAGAGTTTATCAATTAAATTCAGATTAGAACTTAGAAGAAGGAACTACAGATTTGCACCCACTTTATTTCCAGTAGAGAATAATGTAACATTATCTACTTACACTATTGAACTTCCTGTCTGCACTTTGTCTTGTATTCACTCCCACTTCTCTCTGCCTCTGCTGTGGAAGTGCTGCAATTTTGTGTAGGTGCAAGCATACCATTTATTCATGTGGTTGATTCATTCTGAAGGATCTTCTATGTCAAGTAAGGCGCATATAGGGAAGATGGCATTTATGAAAATCCCACACAAAAAGTGTGTGTAAGCCTTAACTCTAACACAAGCTGCTGTAGGTCCACTCGGTGGGTACTACCTGCAATGTGATAAGATCTTTCCCACTAGCATCATTACTTTCATGGTATCCCACAAATACCTCTACCTCTACCTCACATACAGATATTGATGTGTATGTGTTAATGTATATATCATGTTGATAATATCTCTGGATTCCCCTGCATTTAATAGTGGTTGGGGAAGCCTTATATGACCTTTACTCCCAGCCAGCCTTGTGTGTTTATGAGTGTAGATGCATTGTATATTTTACTTGTGCGCAATTCCTGTTGTTTAATAGTAGTTAACATAGTTAGTGACCATGTCCATATCCATAGCTTGCACGGAATTTCAGTGCATTCTTGTGTTAATAGGATTCAGCACCAATCTTTTTCACTTCACTTGTATGTTCACTCTTTCGTTGTATGTGCTCCACTCTTTCCTTTGGGAATTCTTGGATAATCCATGGAACCACCTCTGCAAAGGCGAGGACTTCTTCATCGAGCTTCATTTCATTTGCTCGTTTTGCACACCTCTAAGACCCAACATTATAGGAGTAGCCAGTAGCTGGATTGACGCATTTATTACGATTCTAAATGTCTGTTCTCAAACTCTGACCTAGAAGTTGGTTCTAGTTCTCTAATCTCTTGTACCCAAGGAAGTTCATTATGTTGATATTGCTTAAACTGTTCCTTCTTTACATAAAGATGACATGATACCTTGCCCTATTACAGGTTTTGTATTTGACAGATAACGTTCAGCTAATATTAGATGCTATGCGAACTTCAACTATTGTGGAAGTGCAGGTGCGTATCATTGCTACCATGCCATTTTTCTTTATCAACTTTTGCCATTAAGTTGCACTGCCTTTTCTCTGCATAAGTCATCATTCCTTGACCCAAATGTTGAACTTGTATTTGCATATCAATAATGGTATATACTTTTTAACTGGTAAGTAGTTTGTTCAGCGGAAGAAGGGAGTAATTTTGTTTTCTTGTTTAAACAAACCCATGCCTTGGTTGCTAACTAGTTTTCATAGAGCATCTAGCAATGGAGCTTTTTGAAGACTTCATGGGAGCTTTTTTGCCACATCAGATTCTGAAAAAAAGCACATGACAATAAGTTTCTGCTTTTTAGGGTGTGTTTGGTATGGGGACAAGATAGAACCGGACAAAACAACTGTTCAACATTTGGTAAGATATAACTGGACACCGCATAACATAATAGATAAAATGACAAATTTACCCCAAATGATTTGTTTATACATTTTATATAATTCTGATTAATTATGTAATTTATTGAATTATAATAAGATAATTATTTTATATAACAAAATGTCATTAGAAAGTTTTCGTCAAGACAATTAAAATGACACCAAAATAAAAACTTTATGTAGTTTCCAATTTTTATTTTATACCTATTCTATATTATTATTTTTATTATTAATATTTAATAAATTACATAAATTAATCAAAATATAGAAACCGTATAAAAATAATATTTGGAGGACAGTAAACTGAAAGTTTAAAGAACATAAAATACAATAAATAAAATTTAAAAAAAATAATAAAATGTAAAGAGGAAGACGTATTTGATGTCTTAGAAGAGAATTAAGTTCTGTTTTGAGGTTATATTGGTAAAACATAAGTTTGCTCTACCTTGTTCCATGGGGTGGGGTGTTCCGCGTTGTTCCTTTATGTTTCACATAAAAATCCTGCCAAATGTGGAACAGGGATCTCTGTTCTGTCCCATTGAGTGTACCACATGCACCTTTACTGAACAAGCTCTCGATAAGCTTGTGGGTTCTACTTTTTTGGAAAAAACTTCAATGAGAGCTTCCATTGTGGATGCTATTGGCCTAGCAATTGCATGCATCTCTCTTTGAATGAGACTCTTTATGTTCCACAATCATGGGTATAATCTTGGGAGTTTCTAGGGAGGATTTGAAAGTTGTAGGTATTTATTCATACATACTGTGGGTTGTAGGGTGACAAGATACGGAGGCGAAATGATTGGATGAGATGGATAATGCCTGCTGCTGTTGCTGCTGCTGCTCATGTTCAATACTCAAATCCATCAAGCCCTCAGGCTGTCGGAAGATCTCCCAATCACGAGGGGTTGGCGTCACAGCTGGAGGGTGTTGCATTGCATGAGGCTACTCGGGTTCCTGTTGAAACTAATTTTAGCAGGTCAAACTCGGAGGAATTCACTGGAGGAGAGGAGACCGCGACCATTGAGGTTAGTGGTTTTGGACATGCAGCGGCGGCTTGAAGCTGCTTGCTTATTTATGCAGCAAACTATGTTTTGAGAAGAGCGGACCTCAATGATGATGATATGGGCTATCCTTGATTCCCATGAAAATGATGTTTTGAGAGGCACATGGACAGACCCCTCCCCCCAAGAAAGAAAATTGAAAACTTTTAGAAAACCAAAAAAAAAATGAAAACGAAAAACGAGAGAGGGAAAGGCTTTAATAAAAGGAACATAGAATTACTATGACGATGGTTTTGTTGGAATTTTTTTACTTCTCTTTGGACGAAAGATGGTTTTGAAATTATGTCTGTCCGTTGGTTGTGTTTTGTTGTTTATACCCAGTGGGGGAGAATTTTGTGATTTACTTCCTTCCCCATGACCATACTCCTGCTGCTGAGCTCTGCTATGTCTTTGCAGACGTCTGGTATTTGATCAATGAATGGATGATTGTGTGCTTGTATCCTCATTATCTTATTTCCTTTTATTCATGCACTAATAGGCGTTGTGAGACCAGTCTGTTTTCGTGAAACCCTGCGATCATAAAATGACACTAAACCTTCATAGCAGAACACTATCAAGGTACAAAAACATTGTGAAAGCTCACGAAAACATGTTGGTCTTACGTTAACCCAACCCAACATCACAGTGCCCTTTGGTTGGCATTTGAAGCAAAGTGGTTGAACTTTGACAGTGGTTTCACAGTTGGTCTCACGAAAATAGGCTGATACAATAAGAACGCAACTCGGCATTGTGATGCCCTTCTATTGGCATTTGAAACAAAGTGGTGCACTAAGGGGTGTTGTTGGTATGGTCATGTTCCAGGGAGAAGGCACCTATCACCTGGTCTTTAGCATGGCTCTTTCCAAATAAAGTTGCTGAAAGGCCTTGTCCTTTTAATTGGATGTCAAAAATATGGGTTTTTATTTAAATGTTTTAAGTAAAGTTGGCATTTGTTAAAAAAATATTTGACACGTGTTTTTAAGTAAATTTATTTGTAACATTTTTGTAGGTTTTATATGTTCATGACACATGTTAGATAGCGATGTTGTTAAAGAGCACGTAAACATAGCACATAAAGGGTGTTTGGGATTGCTTACAAAAACAATCTATTGACTTATTCTGGTGTGACATCGGTAATAAACACTTTTGAGTGTTTTGATAAATAATTTATATCGGTACCAAACTGGTAATAAGAAGTTTTTGAAGAAGTTAAACCTTCTGACTTATAATAAGTTGATAAGTGTTTTTATGGAAAAACATAAGTTGTTTCAAATAAACAATTCCAAACACCCCTTATGATTATTGGTTAATCAGAAACTCGAATAATATCACATGTTTATGATATCGATAATTAATTATTATTCTAGTATGATAATTTAAGTACCTGCTAAAATGTAATTATAATTACAAGGTTTTAAATGTGAATATATTTATATATAATTTTATTAAAATAATAAAATTAAATAATTTTTGAGTAAATTTTTTTTTTTGTCCCTATAATTTGTTAAGAATTGCATTTTTCGTTTCTATGGTTTAGTACAATTTTCGTCTTTATTGATTTGTGACTCATTGCTATTTTCGTTCTTATGGTTTACAATTTATTGTTGTTTTGATCCTATCCTTGTGGTTTATCTTTATCTACTGTTTTGGTCTCTTGTACTTAAAAGGTAAAGAAATTCGCAAATTCTAAACCACATGAACGAAAATCGATATTATTAACAAACCATACGGACGAAAACAGTAATTTACTCTAAATTTTTTAGAAAAGGATTGGATCTGACGAGCCTTAAAAAAAATGGGCTTAAGAATTAAAGTAAGCACGGTACATGTTTGAGAGTTAAGATTTATCTAACGTTGGATTAACCTATAAATAAAAAAGACAATATCTAAGCCGAAGATTAATTCAATTAGGATATATATATTTCAGTTACCAAACAAGCAGAAAATAAACCTTATTCTTTTCTTTTAAATCACGTACTGGATCAGAAACCTAAGGGTTTTGAACTAGCACTCTATTGGAGCAAAGAGTGTTAGTATAAGGATCGCTCTAGAGGAAACCTACACTGGTTCTAATGCTTCATCCAAACCATCTACGAACTCTAAAAATTATGTTACAAACATCAGTATTGTGTTCTCTAGTTCTTATTTACTAAAACATGGTTATAACTGCTTGATTTTTAAGTCTTCAGAGTGTGTTACGGGTTTTTTTAGTAATCGAGCTTGGGCCTCTTGTGACATAACCTGTCTCGAGCTTTAGGACCATTTACCTACCTCTAATTTGGTTCCTTTTTTCGTTGGTTATCAACTCAAGTCCTGTTCGACTATTTCATAACTTCAAGACCTTATGAGATTAGTCAAGGTGTATGCTAGTTGATCCAAACACTCGTGATTATGGTTAACAATAAGTTTTACGTTTTTATGTTTTAATAACAAAACAAAGATCATCGTTAAGGGTAGTTTTGTCTTTCTGGTTGTTTTGATTTATCTTGTTGAATTTTGTATTTTCTTATTACACAACTTAAGTCAATAGATTATATTAATCACACATGCAAGCAGCCAAGCAACGACGGACATAGATCTGTATATGTTCGTGAAAACTATGCAAACCATTTTCGACTGATAGGAAAATTCTTTTTTTTTTCTTTAATTTTAATAAGTAAGGGTATAATGATCATTTGATTATATACTGGTTAATAATGGAAGGTAATAATTACTCTTAATTATGGAAACGTGATAATAGAAACATTAAATATATAATGTGGTAAATTAATTTTTCTTAATATAATTTTTTTACCATTAATAGTTTTTTATTATTTTATTAAATTATACTTATTAAAATATGAATTGTAAGAGCATTACAATATGAAATATGATTTCGTTTCATTGAAAAAATATATGTAGTTTGAATAATGAAACGAATGTCATCGTCAATAGTGAACATGAACGCAATTTCACTGATGGGTTTAATTTATTAATATTTCGAAAACGTTTTGTGCATGAAAAAGTTTCACTTACGAAAATAAAGTATTCAGTTTTCAAAATGTTTCATTCAATTTTCAAAAATGTTTTCATTCTTTATATGTTTCATCGTTTATTAGGATTTCCCTTGTTTTAAAATTAGTTATAAATTATCAAGAGTCAAATCCTGCTTCAATAACCGTTAATGAAATAGTTTCATATATCGTTCACTACTACATGTCAAATGATCCATCTTTCATTGTAGGTGACAATGAGTCACATGAGTTCATAACATAAACGGTGAAACAGTTTCATTTATTCATTTAATGAAACAAAATATTCCATTTAGTATTCAAAATGTTTCATTATTTTTTGTTGATTACAATATATTTATATATTTCATAATTTATTAGGATATACCTAGTTTCATTGCTCCTTACTTGGAACTATTTTTAATGTGGATGTTATTTCATCTATAATATTTAGTCATAAAATGAAGATAAATTTTATCAAACATATAATTTGTCAGATTATTCTAACATTTTTTGTTAAAATCTTTGTAATGATAAAATGATATATAAATATTTTAAAACAATGATTTTGTTTCATTAATGTTAGGATATCCACGATCTTGTTATCTCGTTTACAAAATCATATAAATTAAAATTTTGACAAGTTTTCCCTTTTTTTAATTAAAAATTAAACTTTTATTTTTATTTTCTAATATAAACACATTTAATCTTGACCATTGATCAAGAAAATTGATGGATGAGATTATTTTGTAAGGTTTTCACAAATGATGATGGTTTGCAATTTCAATTTTACCTTTCCACATCTTCAGAATATTTGAAATTGTTTTACTATTTATTTAAGTTTGAAAAATACTTTAACTTCTCTTAAAATGTGATTCTGAACATAATTCTTGGCTTAAAGGTTTTTCTCACATTCTTGTAAATCATGGGGGTTCTCGTTTGAACCTCCACCATATATATATATATATATATATATATATATATATATATATATATATATGGTTGGGTTTTACGTAAGACCGATCTGTTTTCGTGAGACAACATTTTTACACTTGAAACTTCATAACAAAATGTTGTGAAAGTAAAAAAAAAAACGAACATTCACAGTAAAAACACCGTGAATGTTACCTTCACAATGTTTTGCTGTAACGTTTCAAATATAAAAATATTTTCTCACATATCTCATGAAAATAGGCTGGTATCACGTGAACCCAACCCCATATACATTTACATTTCTTTTAGCCTGTCGTATTAACATACAAGATACATTAACATTTATTTTAGCCTGTCGTATTATCGGCATTAATTATTGCTTTTTTGCAGAAATTTATAATAATAAATAATTAAAGAGCTAAAAGACACAATTCTTGTAATAATTATGTATGGTTATTGATTGGTTGGTTCGAATCATGGTGGAATCCCAGTTCACGGCTATTTTTTAATGGATTCATTTTAGGTTGCTTTATTTTTATTTTAAAAATAAGTATTATTTTTTATGATAGTATCATAATTCTAATTTATACAGATGTTCGATCTGTTATTTCACGTTAAAACTGTTTTGTTGGTGTCACTGAATAAAGCTCGGATGTTTGCGTAACGAACGTTGACGAAAGGAAAAGAGTAAGAACAAATCAATATAAGTCACTTTTGGCTTTTCAACACACACACATATATATATATATATATATATATATATATATATTGAACCATCTGTAGACACATGTTGTACAGACACTTATGTATGCGAGCATTTAAATCCTTCTGAACACTTAATCATTTTGCACTAAATCATTCAGCAACTATCAAACAACCCCATAGAACCCTAAAGATAACAGTCATTAAATTAAGATCACAAAAACAGATGAAAATATAAATTTTCAACTTAATAAAGATTTAAGAGAAATATGTCTTAAACCCGTAAAAAAAATTAAAATATAAAAAACAAAATATAATATTTTGAAATAGTTTTAAAAATAAATTAAACGTACTATTTTAATTAAATATATTTGTAAAAAGTTGTGATTTTGGATTATATGGAACTAAAAATATTTATTATAAATCAAATAGAATATGGACAGAGTTATATGTATTATTAAAGGTATCTGTATAATATAAGATAAATTATTGTTCGATTGTTATGTTGAATAAACAGTCTGAATGTCAGAAATGATCATTTTACCCCTTAGTCTATACTTTTATTTAACCTATCTTGAATATATGGACTATGGTCATCTTTTTATTCATCCTTATTGCCATACAATTAGTAAAGGAAATCGTGGAGGATGAAGACTAGACGGATTGATGGTGGGAAAAACCTCGATTCACCCAGGATGAAACCAGTTCGAGATTGAATATTACCAGCATCAACCCTTACCAGACGAAATTCAAATGTGGCCACCTTGAATGAAATTACTAGCAGCAACAACATCTATGTATGTTACCGCCAAGAAATCGATAAAGTAAGAGAAGCAGATCGATTCCAGAGATTTATTTGATTCAAGGAGGAATTGATCCATCTCGATTTCTTTCATTGAGGGAGAGAATCGATCTGATGGGAAAAGAAAGTATGACCGACAAAAGTGCTTGGAGGATCCATGTTCAAAGTCCAAGAAGGGATAAAAATCTTCTTTGTGGCCACGGAGGTTCAAATGCGGTGACTTGGGGCAACCATTAGGTGGTCGCCCTGAGATTAGTCAGCTCTCATAGCTGGTTGAATATCCAAGTTAATCAAAAAAGAAAAGTATGACCGGCGATGGAAAAGCACTTGCGACGGGAGAAGCACGGGTGACAGGAGCACCAAATTCGTATAAAAGGGGTTGTTTGTGAGAATGATTCCGGAAGTTGGGTTTTATCTTGATAGCTTTTGTTTTAAATGCGAAAGGTGGCTTTTTAGTACAGAGGTAGATGGGAAATTATTATGGTCGAGGCCAAAGGACTAATATGTTTGAGTTGAGCGATTCAACCATGGGTTGACCGAATAAACTCATACAAACAGCTAGATATGGCTGTGGGAATAAGTCATATGACTTATACAACCCATGAAGCAGTAACCGAACAACCCATAAGCACTGTTACCAACTAGGCCATGCGCAATTTTAGTTTTTAAATATGCATCTTTTTCTATACATCATAATGTCGTAAAATGAATTAGTGGAGGCCCTGCACGACCAGCACACCTCCGGGGCCGCCATGGGTATGAGACGGACTATGATAATTGTAGTACTTTTTTATATATTATGTTAAATTCTAAAACCTTTGTTGCACAGTTATTTGGTATAATACTATTCGTTGATATTTAAATGGTCAGTATTGAGGAGTTCATATGTGAATGTACGGTTTGTGGCAATATTGTGTATGATTTAATGATAAAAATGAAGTGTAACAAAAAATCAACAGTTAAATCCAAAGTTGTTTTCCTGTTGTTTGTATTCAAAGAATTGTGATACGCCAATTATTATAGTTTGAGAGACCTTTTTTTGAGAACCTTTTAGATCGTTTGTTTACCTCTTAATAGTTCCATTAAGAGGAAACTTTTAAATCGTTAATAAGTAAATCTTGTTTGGTAAAAAAAAAATTTGTCCCTTAATGGTTCTAAAATCATCTGAATGATTTTGTCTCATAGATCTCTCTTAATCATTAAGAGCCCTAATTTCATTGTACACAATTATCAAACAATTATATTTCATTTTGCAATATATCATGAGAGGCTCTTGATCATTATGTACCAAACCATTCAGCAATTGCCGATCACCATCGATCTAAACCTCCGCTAACCACCACCAATCCGAACCACCACCGTTCTGGACCACCGTCGACCATCACCGTTTTGAAATATTGCTGACCACCACCGTTATAAAAGAAGTATTTTGGTCATTTATCGTTTATCCATCCCAATTTAAAAGCTACATTCTACCAACCAAATAGACATATTCCAAATCATTTAACAAATTACATTATTCCAACCAACGTACGGTTAAATTTCATTCCAATTCATTCAAAGTCAAATTCTTTTGACATATTCTATTCATTCAGAAAACATTATGCGAATTAAACACCCCCTTAATTTCAAACGTTTTTTTAAATGTTACATCAAATTAAGAAGTTCGACCGTAATAAAAAAAAGCGTATCTTATACAAAATAAAATACATGAAAAAGTAACGTACTGAAATTACATGACTTTGATACTTATCTCCTCATCAAATAGAGACCACCGACAATTGGTTATTTCGTATTTGGATATAATTAGAAAACAGCAGTTACGAGGACCGTAATTGTAAATTCCTTTTGACATTTATAAAACACCCATCTCAAGAAGTTTATTAAGCATTTTCGTAACGATTCATTTGTCTTCATGCTTAAATAATAATAAAAAAACAATGTATATTGTACTTTTCTCTAGTTTTTCACTTAATTAACTTATGGACGGTTTACCAAATGCTTATCCGGATAAACGCTTACCAAATCATAATATCTTTTCGGATAAATATGACAAGTACCAAGAATCTTATTCGATAAGAACGAAGGGAATGACTGAGAGTCTTACCCAGTAAGTGATGACGACGACTCTTACAACGGTTAACACTAATCGGGTAAATTGTTACATACAATGTCATTTTGATGGATTAAAATCTTACCTTAACGATAAACACTTACCGGGTAAGTGTTTCCCTTAATGATTTATCAATATTTGTTTTTGTTTCCTTAATTTTTCTAATATTGAAAATTGTTGAACTGGACAACATCTTATACGTATTTGTTAATATTTTAATGAGTTTAATGGAACTCATGATTTGTACAGTCAGTTGTACATGACTATTTGGTAGCGAATTAATGATATATAAAGTGTTTTATTTACTAAACTCATAGTCTGAGATTTATGCAGAAAGCCAATTTTTTTTTTCTTCCAAATTTGTCACTTCCAATTAAAACACACTAGCAGAGTATTCGTGCAATAAAACGAAACATATCTCGATTTTTAATGTTCTATTTTATTCTTTGTCTATGTCGATGTTATAATACTATTTTATGTGTTTTTAAGAAAACAATAATGATTTTATTTTTAAATAAAATATAAATTTGAAGATATCATAAAAATTGAAAAAAAAAACTATATCAATGTTAATAAAAATCAACTATTTAAAAGTTATTATTTTTATATGTAATTTCTTTAATTTATTTTTTCTTATTATAATTTANATTATATTTTAGATTTTTTATATTTAAAATGAGATGTTATCCTGTATTTGATTATGTTTATCTACAGTTAGTTACACGAATTCAAATACGAAGATTTAATAAGTTGTACTTACGCACAATTACTTGTAATCTTGAGTTTTAAGTAACGTGCATTAATAAACAATATTTTATGCATAAAATGTGATTTTTAAAAGTTTTTATCAAATGCTTTATAATATAGTATACATGCATTCAATTTATGAAATAAACATCTCAAACAAAAATCTTCTCAATCTATACAAACATATTAATCCACATATGCAACTAAATTCACACAAAACTTAATGAAAAACTAAACAAACAGCTTCCAACCCATCTTATTTTCTACAAGTCATAATAAAAATAAACATTTATTTAGACACGTATTTGTTAAGACATCATCGAATTAAAGTGTTGAATGTGTATACTAATTATCAATATACCGTGACTTAGAATATTTTCAACAAGTATGTTATAGTTAATGTTACTGATTTTAGTGTTTTCGATCATTTGGTGTGATTATGATTCAATAGAGATCGATTAAGACGATGACACAAACATAAATAAGTCAAGAGGTGGAGAATGAACACTCACAAATGTTGCATCTATCACTTTAGATTGTCTTAAAGCGTAGGTCAAGGGAGCCACGCCCCCTGCAGGGGCAGAGCCCCTTGGCAGTGCAACTCCCTGAGTTTTTGGAATTTAAGAAGAGTCGTACTTGTGAAAATCTCAGTAAGTCTGATTAATATGATCTCATCTTTGATTACCTTGGAAATTGCCTAAGGGGATGTGTTGGCAGGTGCTAGATGATTTGGTATAGAATGATTAAGTGGTCAGAATGATTAAGAGACTCTAATGATGTAGTGCAAAATAAAATATAATTGTTTGATAATTGTTTACAATGAAAGTAAAACACATAATGGTTAAGGAAGGGTCATGATACAAAATCATTTAGAGAGTTTTAGAACTATTAAGGGGTTGTTTGTTTACCTCTTAATAGTTTTATTAAAATGCAACATCTGAATCATTAAAAGGTGAATCTTGTTGGGCAAAAAGAAAGTCTGCATCTTAATGGTTCTAAAACCCTCTGAATGATTTTGTATCATGGGTTTCCCTTAATCATTAAAAACCCCAATTTCATTGTAAACAATTACCAAACAATTATATTTCATTTTGCACTATATCATGAGAGCCTCTTAATCATTCTGACCACTTAATCATTCTGCACAAAACCATTCAACAACTGCCAAACAACCCTAAGAGACAATTTTTTTTTTTTTGCCAAATAAGATTTACCTCTTGATGATTCAGATGCTACTTCTTAATAGAATTATTAAGAGATAAACAAAAACCCATAAATATTTAAGTCTGAATAATACGTCCAGATTTGAATCTTAAGTTTGAAACAGTGGTTCGAGAGATCTGAACTTAAGTTTGAGAACATCTTAATCATTATGCACCAAACCATTCAACAATTGCCAAACAACCCCTAAGAGATATTTTTTTTTGCCAAACAAGATTTACCTCTTAAGGATTCAGAGGCTACTTCTTAATAAAATTATTAAGAGATAAACAAACAACCCATAAATATTTAAGTCTGAATAGTATGCCCAAACTTGAATCTTAAGTTTGAAACAATGGTTCGAGAGATCTGAACTTTGAGTTTAGACTTGGAAAAAAAGACTTTAATTTTTTTCTAATTTTGTTAGAAAAAAATAATAAAAAGTTGTTAAAATATAAATTATAATTAATAATTAATTTACACCGCGATTTAAGGCCGTGAGACAGGCCCCAGTGGGACAGAATAAAGACTTTGGATTCCCCATGACTCACGTACACGTCTCCCTACTCATCCAATAGTTTTCCGCCACGTAAACATAAAGATCTACGGTTTTTTCTTTAATAATTTTATTTCCTAAAATAAAAGGCAAAATAAGATAATTTGGCGGGCATTCACAATAAATTCAAATCGCAGATTTAAAACCCTAGCAACCTCCATTTCCCCAATTTCCTCATCCTCTCTCTACAGGTTCGTCTGCCTCCTCTCCTATTTTCACTTCAATTCTATATCGTTGTTTTTGGGATGAATCGATTGCTTGATTTTTGTTTCGTTCGATGTATCCACTTTTAATTTTTCTTCATCTGTTTACGGAGTATATTTCGTGAAAATCTTACAGGTTTTGCGATATCTGTTTGACGTTATCATCTATAATTTGTGCATGTTGCCGTTTTTAATTTTAGGTCTTTTTTTGGTTGTTTATTGCTGCAGGTAACTTGGCTGACGGTGCGAGAGGATGAAAGCTAATGGCGACTTCTGATGGTAATGATTCTTTCAATACTAGGAAAAAAAAATGAAGTTCCTTCACGTTTATAGACAGTTGTCTGCGGTTCGGTTGTGTATTCGTACATCACTATTGTTCAGCTTGCGGAAACCGACTGCTGTCCATAAAACTTGACTATTGTTCTGAGGAACGAGACTGGTAGCATTTGCTGCAAGGATCTTAAGCATTAAATTGCTGTCTGTCTGTTTTCAGCAGTTATTGTCTATTTTGAAAATTAGATCTTTGCGTCTGATTTTCTAAATCTGGTTCTTGTAGAAGTCTTGATTTCTCCATTTATCTAATTCTGGGGGTTATTGTAGTTTTAAAGTGTAGATTTTTAGTTGATCTCTGATGTCATTATGCTCTTTTAGGTACCCTGGCCGTGGCTCTTGGTTTAGATATTAGTTTGGATTTGAGCAGCATTAGAGTGAAACAAAAATTCTGGCTTTTGGTGTCTGGAGGGATTAGAATCTCACCGCTGAAATCTGAGAAGAGGAAGTAGAATGGGCAAAGTGTCCCCTAAAGAAAAAATGTCCAAGACATCAAAGCAGACATCGAAGCAAAAGAGGCGCATCCATGGTTCAAACAAGTATTTGAAGCCAGGTGCTCTTGCTCAGCTTCGTAATAGCAAGGCATCAGCATCCAAGTCATGTACAGATATAGGGAAGAAGAAGGTTGATGTTATGGATGAAGAGAAGACTGATCGTGATATTCTGTTTCAGGATAAATGTGGAAATGATATTCCAATAATTTTATCACCTGAAAAGTTCAGATATAATCCTGTGGCTGGACCAGTTGATTTGCTCAAGGAGAATAATTTACAGAGAACGCCCAGGACGCCCCGCCCTGAAGGGAATGGATCAGATTATGACTCCAGGCTTGAATCTCTTCCGATGGAATTGCTGGTAACTGATATTTTCATCTCTATTTAGGTTAATTGATAAATTAGTAAACTTGATGGTATGTAGTTGATTAGCTGTGGTATTTCTTGGTGTAGTTAATTGATAAAATTAGTGGAAGACATACATAGAATATACTATTGTTTGATAAGCATTCACTGCCTTAGATTTTCAACAGTGATCTCTTAAAATCTTATGGATTATGTCTAAAAATATGCTCTTCTGCAATATACAAATAGGATGACTGCTGCTGACAATTTGTGCTGTTAGTCTGATTCCACGTATTAAGCTAGTTTTATTATGAGCACAGGCTTTAGTCTTTAGAAAAGTCTTCCTTTCCAACTTTTTGCTAATGATGATGCTCTAACTTGTTTTTGCATCATATGACTTGTCTCTTTGGTATAAAATGATATCATTAAAAAAAATTCATCTTTCCCTTTTTTTTGTGGTACACACGAATCTGAACATGCATGTGTAATTGTCTGTCAGATGTCTTATATAAATTGACATTTGTATTTAGGGTATTAATTTTATGATACCATCACCTTAAAAAGCTACATTTTGTTGCTTTCCCATTAAGACCTTAATCTCGTCCCAACTGTATATCTTTTTATAAATATGTTGTGATAAACAAAGCGGGTTTACCCTTTTGTTTGTACCATTACTTTGAACCAAAATTTTGTTAAAGAGTTGCCAACTGGAGCTGCAATTAACTGCACAAGTGTGCTCAATGATTTCTGTGGGTACATAGTTGAATTACTTGTAATCAGAAAAGTTTACGTGTGCGATTGGCAATGTCATTCCATGCTTTTCTTGAGGTTATACAATCAACCTTTTTATGACTAATAGGAGCTCAAAAGAGAGGTGATCGATTGGGAGAAAATTACTTCCTTTGAAAGCTTGGCAATGACTTGAAAAAACAAACATGAATTTAGAAACATCAGAGGAGGAAATAAAAGATGCTGTTGGCAATACATATAAAATCACTCATTTTACTTGAAGGCTGGAGCAAATAGTGACAAAAATTATAAATAGGCTCTCCTGCTCCCTTCTTATTTATATGCAGTCAAGTTATTTTGTTGCATCTTGTATGTTACATGATCTTACTTGCATCAGTGCAAACTTTCAGAAATATGTGACCTGTCTTTCTGGAACTAAACTATTTTCTTTAAATTTGCTTTTGTTTATGTCTATCACCAGAGAATCAGTAATTAAAGGGTCAGGTAATTATGACAAAAACACTTGAATCTTATGAACCTAAAGCAATTGCATGATTAACATACAATCGTTACAAAGTAAGTATTTTTTGTTAAAGAATTGCCAACAAAAAAACATTGCATTTTTCATTTTACATCCCAAATGAAATTATGCAACCAATAGAGCCTGTTGTTGGAGTAAAATGGGTTATCACTTGTCAACATATTTTTTTATTGTTTCAATCTGATTCATCCTTATCTGTGATTCAAGGTCAAAATACTTTGCCACCTTCACCATGACCAACTAAGGGCTGTTTTCCATGTCTCTGAGAGAGTCAGAAAGGCTGTAAGTTTCTCTCTTTGTTGTTTTTGTTTCTTTATACACATCAAACTAATAATTTCATATACGTAGCACCATTATTTCTATGATTACAATAAGGTAAAGTTGGATAATAAGTGCTGATTCATTTCTCAGGTTGTTATAGCTCGTCAATTCCATTTTAACTATACCACACCAGACAGATCTCGACAAGAAATATTGTGCACTTCAACGCCACTACCTACCGAACACTGGCCTTTTCTGAGGTTAGCATCTCGGTTCCCATTACTTTCTTTTTCCTTAAAACTTACAACCGTTCTCATTTACAACCTGATGGAGCTTTTTCAAAAGCGTGTTTGCCACCTAAGATTATGGAAATCCTCCTGTTTTTAGGCACTTTTTCCTTGTAACTTGCTCTCAATAAGCTTGTGGCATGTGGGTCCCACTTTTTGCTTGGCCACCTGAGCTTGTGGGTCCTACTTTTTAGGAAAAAAGCTATAATGAAAAAACTGATCATTATGGATGCTCCGATGTCATGGCTTTTTTTATCTCACAGCAAGGGAGATGGTAAGAGCAACGATTTTACGCTACCAAGCACTCCAAAAGCACCTAGGCATGGACCTCGTCCTCCTTCCCGCCTCAAATTGACGGAAATGCGCCAAATTGCAGCAGTTCTGTTCCAGGAATCATCAGCATTTCCTCCGAGGTACATTGTTCCATCTCTCTTACCAAAACCAATATGCAAGTCATTTGCTTCCAACCGAGTGTTGTTCTACGATGAAGAGCTTGAGCTTTGCCAAGCTGTTGCTCAGAATAAACTTCGTTAGTGGGCCCCTCTTTTATGATGTACAGCAGTATCCCCCGACCCCACCCCCACCCCCACCCCCAACCCCAAAATTCCTTCTTGTTTCGTAGGTTCGTATCGCTAGTAGGTAGCTAGAGTAAGTAAGATGGTGCAGTTTTGAAAAATCTAATGGGGTAGTCATCAGCTAGATGGTGGCCTAAGATTTGCTTGCATGAGTGGTAGAATACTATGGTTGATAATCAAATAATATGTTCAATTTTATGTTCTTGTACATACTGTGAGGACAATTTGCTTTTAGGATGTTGGCTTGTTTATTCTTTCTTAGAAATATATACTACAACACTATAAGAGTTTTTGTGGATCCTCTACTGGTAGATGTGAGGTCTGCATGCATCTCACCGTTTGAACCCTGTTTTTAAGTGAAATATACCGTGTTTGTTTGGTTTTTGATTATCTGTAATCTGAGTGTTTATCATAACCTTCAATTATGTTTTACACTTGAAGTTCAATCCTACTCAAAAGATTGGATGTTGGAAACCATCAACAATAGCATAATTGTTGCCAATTTTCAACATGGTGTTTTTTAGATGAGATTAGACTTGAATTGATAGAAGCAAGAGTACAACAATGCTTGCAGACTTGAATTGTTACCTTTCATGGATAGTTCATTTATGAGGCAGAATTGAAAGGTCAAACAAGAGTTTGTGGGGGAGCTTGTGTGGGTCACAACTCACAAGAGTAGTTAAATCCTTCCATCATTGAAGTGCTCATGGTCTTGTTTGTGATAGGAGCTTTACCACAAGCATTAATTGCATCAAAAGTAAGGGGGCATTTATCTTCCCCCCCAACTACCATTCTTCACTTTTTTAGATCCCTAATAAGAATTTTATTTTTTAAAATAAATATTTATAATAAAAAGGGTATATAGTTTTAAAATATCTGATTATTTTCTTTTTTTAATTAAATAAATGGTAGTCTTGTCTTTAATACTACTCTCAAGTCTCAACTTATCTCCACTCATCGTTAAGAGTAGACTCGAAAACTAAATGCTTATGGGTTGTTTGTTTAGCTCTTAATAGTTCCATTAAGAGACAACATTTGAATCGTTAAGGGGTGAATCTTGTTTGACAAAAAAAAAGTCCGTCTTTTAATGGTTTTAAAACTCTCTGAATGATTTTGTATCATGGACCTTCGTTAACCATTCAACACTCTAATTTCATTGTAAACAATTATTAAACAATTATATTTCATTTTGCATTATATCATGAGAGCTTTTTAATCATTTAGATTATTTTGCACCAAAACATTAAGCAACTGACTAATAGTCCCTTAGTAAAAATAAAAATGCTGATATTTATTTTGAACGAAGGTTTGTGGAAGCTTCTGAAATCCGATGAAATTTGAAAGACAAATTTTTTCATGTAAATTTCTTTGCTTAGTTTGCTATGTTGATTGAATGGATTAGATTTCACCATATATTTCATGGTTTATGACTTGATCATTCATTTACACAAGTCAAAAAAGAATTGAATTTCATTCTTTGACCAATGTTTAACAATTTGATAAATTGTTTTTAAAAATGACGAAACTTTTGAATCTAATTTAATACCCACAACGAGTTCACAACTTGATTTAATTTCATTATATTTCCTTTGACACATTCCATTTATTCCAAGGACATCGTACGAACCAAATACTCCCTTAAGAATAAAAACTGTAAGACACATAATAGTTGGTTTCGGAGGGTTAGATTATGATGAAAAGGGAAGTTATTGTGAGAAGTGTAAGAAGAGATCTCGACTCTTAGATCAATTCATTTCTAAAGCGCAATTCATTAGTGGACATGAGGTTAAAAGTGATTAAGGATTCAGATCTTTTCTTACATTTCTTATCATAACTTTCTTTCTTACACGATCCTTCAACTGGTATCAAAATGTTAATACTTTCATAAACAAATGAGGTTTGAGTTTGATAGCCTCATTGTGAAAATTATGCAAAACTTTAGCAATATAAGCACAATGTAACTTCCTGAAGGAGGTATTTGGAAAAAAGAAAAGTTATTACAGGCAATCCCAACCGTTGACACATAGACTCATCTTTAAAGACATCAATGTGAATGTGAGGTGATATTTGTTGCCTCTTTGAACGGCTAAGGCTAGCAGGTGTCATGATCGAACCCACGACCTATTTTGTATTTGGGCAAAATTCGTCCTGTCCTTTTGTCAACTAAGAGGTTGTTTACTTGCGGCTTAATTAAGCTTATTGGTCTATCTGGCTTATTCGCACAACTCATTTTGGGTTGTTTACTTATGACTTATTCGTATAGAACATGACTTAAACGCACAGATAGAAATGGTGTGTTGTCCCCATTCAGCTACAAAAATGACATCCTTACCCCTTATTTAAAACACCGGCCTCCTTCCCTTATGAGACACCTCATCTTCGGCCTCTTTATGATTTTTCGTTTTGATGTTCAAATAATTAATATGGGGGGGGGGGGAGGGGGGTAAATTGGTCATTTATGTTATTCAGACTGTTGGTTCAGATAAAAAAAATAAACAACATCCATTTATTGAGACAGAGAAATTTATCCATACATGACTCAATAAAAAATTTGGTAAACAGCCCCTAAGCTACACGGCGAAGGCTTTCCGAAGGAGGCATTAACTGTGTTTCAAGACCAAGAAAACCGTAACATAAATCTGCAGCAAACCAACGAAAACCAGCCGACACGAAAGGCACAAAAGCGAAGACCGAAGAGCATTGCAATACGAATTCTTGGCCAAACTACATGATTAGTACATTATGATCTTCGAGTAGTTAAAAGATCAGAAATACAAATCAACAAACATATGATGAAAAATGAACCCAAATCAACAAGATATTTTCGGTCTCTTTTAATCACAATATCGAGCACGCCTTTTGACCTTTTCCCTTCTTTTTCTTCGCCTTTGGAGGCTGCAGCACGACCTTGATTGCAGCATCGAAAACTTGTTTCACATTCTGCCAGAAAAGAAACAAACAGGATTCAACTTACGGGCCAAGATTTATGAAATCGAACCAAGATTCAACTTACGAGCTGTGTTTTTGAACTACATTCAATGTATTCAGGAGCTCCTATCGTCTGCATTAACTCCTCTCCCTGTAAAAAAGAAGCAAGATTTAATTAGGAAAAACTGAACCCTTTTTGGTCGTAAGGATATAACGGGTATGAGTTTAGTTACCTGAGCAGCAGTAATGGGAGTTGCACCAGGATGGTCTTCGAAGAACTGCTTATCATCCCGAAGATCTACACTTGTTAAAGATTCATATCGGTTTAAACTATAGATACGCTTCAAGCGCATTTCAATTGTGTTTTAAGACATGCATTTCATATGTTTGCTACATTTTATGATGGTTATATATATATATATATATATATATATAGAGAGAGAGAGAGAGAGAGAGAGAGTCAGGTTCGGGGAAACCACAAAAAAATGGAAAACTGAGGAACACCCTGATAACCATTGACTTGTCCGATATGCACATATACATAAAAGTAATTTGAAAATGTCTCCTGGTTTCTATACATGTGTGCATACTTGAAAATTTACTTTTATGCACATGTGCATACCTGACAAATGAATTGATTATTAGGGTGTTACTCAGTTTTTCATCTTTTTGTAGTTTCCCGTTGCTATGTTTGGCAAACTAGGTGATAAGCTAGCTGATAACTAGTCATAGTCTGGTAAAAACTACGTAATAAGCTAGATGACAATGTAAAAGAAACTAAAAGAACATGTTGAAAAATACCAAAGCTAGTTTACGGCTAACCAAACAAGACTTCGCTAATGTTATCAACTCGTCTGGATGGTCGATCTTTACAACTTCGCCAAACACCAAATAAGACCTTTTGATTTACGTGGTAATGAATAAGTTTAGAATAAACAAACTACACACGAAAACACATTACGAATTGTATATTTGTATTACAAGCACAAAAGGTTGAACACAAGTAATGAAGTAAGATGGAGTCATAAATACCGAAGCATCAAGATTTTACGGCTGAAGAAAGAACGCTCGTAAAACAACTCACCGAGTTTTGTCCCAACAAGCACGATCGGGACACCAGGGGCATAATGCTCTAATTCTGGAATCCACTGTGAATACAAAACCCCAACAACTTTAAGACCAAATGATTACATTCGTTTTGAAACCCGTAAAAGAACAGCGAGATGTTCACCTTCTTGGAGACGTTTTCATAGCTGGCTTTGCTGATGAGCGAGAATGCCAAAATGAAAACATCAGCCCCACGATAACTCAACGGTCTTAATCTGTTGTAATCCTCCTGTCCTGTTTCATAGCTCGCACGATCAATGCACACGTATTAAACAAAAGAAATTAAAAGAATATCGTGCAAATTAATTGATACACATTTCAAAAGGTTACCAGCAGTGTCCCATAAGCCTAGATTAACAGTGCTACCGTTGACAACCACATTGGCACTGAAATTATCAAATACGGTTGGAACGTAATCCTGTTTAAACCATAATCAAGAACATGATCTTAGCTCCAATCCCATGAATCAGATGATAGTTTTTAACCATAAAATGCGTTCTAACTTTCGAAATAATCATATCGATCGACAAAATCTAAAGAACAAATTGGATACCCGAAAAAGAATATGATCATATGCTCATACTTCTTCCTATAAATTATATAAACATCAACCAAAAGGGGATCAAATCAAAAACTTCAACCAATAACATCAAGAACAAGAGAAAATTGATCATTTTCAAGAACCAGAAAGCAAATTCGAAATCCCGAAAAAGAATGTGATCAAATGCTGATCCTTTCTTCCTGTGAATTCAACCAAAAGGGGATCAAAAACTTCAACCAATAACATCAAGAAGAAGAGGGAATTCATGATTTTCAAGAATCTCAAAGCAAATTGAATACCCCAAGAGAATGTGATCATATGCTGCTCCTTCTTCCTATATGTTGTATAGAAATCAATCAAAAGGGGATCAAAATGTTCAACAAGAACATCAAGAACTAAGAGGCAATTAGATACCCCAAAAGGATATGATCATATACCAATTCTCCTTTCTTCCTGAATTCAACAAGAACAAACCAAAAGAGCCTTTTAAATCTTGAACCATTAGAATCAAGAACGAACAAAGCAAAATTGAATCAAATCTATCATCTTTACGTCAAGAAACTAACAGACCAAATTGGGTACCCAAAAAGAATCTCATTTTCCATACATTGAAACAGTAATGATTAAACCAATAGAATTCAAGAACAAGAATAACACGAATCATATTTTATTCAAAAAATCAGAACAGAAAAATTGAGATTATGACCGTTGGAAAGGTGTTGCTTGTGTAGGAAATCAAGAGACATGTCTTTCCGACAGCCCCATCGCCAACGGTGACGCACTTTATGAACCTCGATGCACTCATTCTTGTTCAAATTGATCCTCAGATCTTCTTCTATCCTCAGAAGACCTGATCACGAACTAACCCACCAACTCAACAACTTCCGTTTTCTTCTCTTCTTTCTTTCTTTCCTTTCTCACCAATTTCACCACCCTTGTTGTCGGTTTAAAGAAATAACGAAAAATTTGCAGGTTTTTTCAGCCAAACCCCAACAAGAAACCCTAAAGAAAAAAATGCAAAAAGGGAAAATTGTAGAATAGAAGGAGTAATTTTCTTCTTTTGTTGGAACAGAAAACCCTAAAGAAAGGGACGTTTGGGATTGAAAGAAATGTGAGAACCTCTGTTTCGCCGGGAAACAATGCTGTTGAAACGTTCGGTGGGTGGTGGAGAATGGAGATGAACTCTCTCTCCCCCCCTTTTCTTCCTTCTTTCTCTCTGGATTTCTTGATTTAAAAAAGTTGAAAAAGATCCTAAATTTCGTGTTTTTGTTGTGCCAACGAAAATGGGGTTTTGAACTTTGAATGGATGGAAAGATGTTTGAAAATTGATGAATGGTTTGATGTAAAATGATTTAAGAGGCTGTCATGATATAGTGTAAAATGAAATATATTTTTTGGTAATCGTGTATAGTAAAATTAGGGTTCTTAATGGTTAAGAGAGATTCATGATACAAAATTATTCAGAGGGTTTTAAAACCATTAAGAGACAGACTTTTCTACCAAACAAGATTCACCTCTTATCGATTCAAATGTTGCCTTTTAATGGAACTATTAAGAGGTAAACAAACAACCCCGGATTTAATTTTGCACTAAACTACACATATTTGTCGCACTTTAATAGAAATCATGAATCATTACTTTAATAATTTAACCCATATTACACATTTTAGAATATGGCATCTCCCATGAATGGTATTGGAAATTGTGACATGTATTTTGTTCGATTACAGGTCAAAACGGTGCATAATTAATGAAATAGAGAGACGTATATATAACGTTATAGGGACTTATATATAGTGTTTACGAATGTGGAGAAGGCATAGGATAGCATGTCACGTAGCAGTGATATGGAGGACTCTTGGGGTTAGCTTCAAGGTATATTGGGCCGATTCAGGAATTATACTTGTGTATGAGGACATGCGTAACGACATCAGTGGGTGACACGATGTTGTCTTGGTGGAGATAGGAAACTAAGCCATTCGTTTTTGTTGTAGTCTTGGACGAGATTTCCCGAGGGATCAATGCTGGTGTTCCATTGTGTAGGTAGCAAAATCGAAGGCAGAGATGAATGGAAGGTTGGAGTAGCGAATGGTTTTACTGAAACAAAAGGTTCGAGCATCTAGGCCTCTTAGTTCAAAAGGTCAAATTCAAGCATCTAGGCCTCTTACTTCAAAAAGAGGAATATCTCAGTTGGTAGTCAACTCATAGTGAAGCTATTGGTAGCCCACAACTTGATATTTTTCTATCTATGTAAACAAGGTCTTTCTTTTACAGATACTTTTGAAGAAGTCAAGGTTTTGATGATGTCATGTCTATGTACATTTCAACTACTTAATAGTTCTATTAAGAGGTAACCTCTGAATCGTTAAGAGTGTGAATCTTGTTTGGCAAAAAAAAAAAAAAAAATCTGTCTCTTAATAATTCTAAAACCTTCTGAATGATTTTGTATCTTGTATCTCCCTTAACCGTTAAAAGCCCTAATTTCATTGTACACACTTACCAAACAATTATAGTTCATTTTGCACTATATCATGATAGCCTTTTAATTATACTGATTACTTAATCATTCAACAATCGTCAAACAACCGATAATTTAACATATTAATTATTTAATTAAATAAAAAAATGGATCCTTCCCACCAAAATGTCTTTTGAGATTCCTTTTGCTTTTGTAGTGCTGTGAACATGTCTCAAAAGAATCATATGGAATGGGAATCAAATATACGTAACGAAATACATCCTCAAAAGTCCAACACCTAAAATAAAAACACCATTTAAAGCATTAGCCTCTTTACATCCTGCACGTTTTCGGGCCTTTTTGCATGGTTGTAAACCGACTCGAACCCGTGGGTGCACACGTTTGCGAAACCCGTCACCGCTTGAAAAACATGCGGTAACCCGATCTGTAAGTTGCTCAACGTCATAGCTCTTGTTACCCCGATCGATTTCTCAAATTTTCCCCTCTCTTCTTCCGTTTTTGCCCTCAACGACTCCACCTTCCCTCGTTTCTCCCTCACCGGGTCCCGCCCGCTCGACGACCCCGAAAACGGACCGAACTTACGTTCAAGAGCCCGGAGCTCCACCATTTTTTTCTCAAGCTCCTTAAACGCTGACTCCGATCTTTTCTTCTGCTTCTGCTCCTCGGCTTGTTGGACTACTATGGCATGAATTGCGGTTAGTAACGCTTTGATGCCCTCGGAGGCGACCTTGTCAGGGGCATTATCGACCACGAGATGCCATTCTTCACAAAGGGTGTAGATCGCAGAATCTTGTTTGGTTTGGGATAACGAGGTTTTGCCGAACTGGAAGAGGCTGAGGCGGAGCCAGCCGGTCAAAGATTGGACGTAATCACGTTGACTTTTTATGAGGTTGCAGAAGGAAATGTGCCATTGTTGGACCTCGACCTCGAGCTGGAGAACCGCTTGGCGGTGGATTTCGGAGGTCGGGTCAGTCGACGGGACGAGATGGAGGTACTTGAGCTGCTGGACTATGTGCATTTGGACTTGGTGGCTTTCATATAAACTCCTCCACATGATCATTAATCTGCAAGAAATTTGACCATAAAAAAGGGTCAAAATTTGTGTTTCTGTGCATTTGTAGCAGTACAGTACAACTTGCAGCAGCGTATCTGCTTTCTTACAGTTCTTGTCCTTTGCTTTTGATTGTATGGAACAAGATAAATGTACTATAAAACATGGTATCAATAATAAAGCAACAGGGAAAAGGTACAAAGGATATGAAACAAGATTGATAAATTACTAAACTACCCATGTCAAATTAAAACCTTAAAACCTTCGGCAAATTTTTCATCTGTCTACCTCACTCTAGACCGTCTAGTCTTGTCCCCGGCCTTGTCCTATCCAAATACCTTAAGGGTGTGTTTGGTATGCAGATGGGACTGCGTCGAACTAGTTGTTTGTCCGACTAGAAAAGGACCGGACAAGTTGTATGCATTATGTTCTTAAGCTAGATAGAACATTAAAGACCCATATCAAACCGGACCACGAAAACCAAACCGAACCAGCTCAATTGGTTCCGAATCAAAACCGAACTATGCTATATATCCTAAGCATGAACCAAGCTGAACCATTTGGATTGGTTCGACAATGAAAGGATGTATGGGGATATTATATAAGAAGACTAACCCTTTAACAAGCTCAACAAGTTGCGGGTAAAGCTCTTCTTCTCGGAGTTTGACAATCTCATGTGACGTTGACTCGATCGCCTGAGAAGAAACCATCATTCTCGACTCCAACTTCTCCACTTCTTTCTTCGCTTTCTCCGTCTTCATATAATCGGCCCTCTTAACCTCCATTTTCCTCAACTGTTCCACCCTCTTTCCATGCTCAATCTTCAAACTCTCCACATTCTAAAACCCCAACCAAAAATCACAATTAATCAATCGAGGGAGAGAAAAGTAAATTCACATGAATTTCCTTACCTTAACCTCTTGACATAGCTTCTTCTCCCATGCATACAATCTCTCCACCGTAGAACAATGGCTACCACCACCACCACCACCAACCACCGGATCTCCGACCATTTCATCACAACCCAACTTCCCAAGCATGTTCATCTTTGAGGTCGAGCTCCATGAGCCAAACAATGGGCTCAAATTCTTCCCATACTCGTGAATTTTACCTAAAATCAAGATTTCTTGAAGTCAAACCTAATGCTTATATATTCAAGATTTATGTTGATTTTTTCAGTTTTTTTTATCTTCGGCAAATCATGGATTGTAGCTCATTTGTATGTGAATTCTAACATGTTACGAATTTTTCTAAAACCAAAATCAATTTTTTAAATTTTGAAGTTAAAGATCTATCTGTTTGACACTAAAAAGTCAAAAGTGGATACAATTAAGGAGTATTTAATCATGGTCATAACTCATAAAGACCATAATTTACTGTTTGACCATTGAAAAAAAGTTTGACCCAACAAGATCCTATCTTCCCAATTGAAAACCCTAAAAAAGTAAATTACACATTCAATACCCATGTGAATTTTAATAGTGTTAACATGTTATGGTATGATGATGAGGACAAAGAACACACAGACACACGTGTGCACGTGTTGAATACTCATCACATCAGTATCTTGGACACATGCTTCCCAAATTTGTTAATTTGAAATTGAAATTATTAATTGGATTTACCTGATGATCTTTGGCCGGGAAAGGTACACGCCGGAACTTCCAACAATGCAGAAAGCTTTCCGCCGGAATCCGCCGCCTGGAGGAAGTATTCATCCAGTTCTTTAATGATCTCCACCAGGTCTTTGATTTTCGTCGACACTACTAACGCCATCTCGCTTGTAGTGGCGGTGGAAGCAGAGATCTTGGAGAACCCACTAACGCCGGAAGGCGGCGGCGCCACGGTTGTGGTGGTCACGGCTGTTTCCGATGCAATGGTGGTGGACCTGTCTTCCCATTCTTCGTCGTCTACAGTCCCTGACCGTGTCGACGACGGCATAAACGGGTCCCAGAAATCCCATGTGGACGACGGCGGCGGAGGCGGTGGCGGAAGTGGGGTGGAAGCGGTGTTGGTGGTGGATGTTGTCCATGTCTCGGAGGTTGGACTCATCGGAGGTGGTGGTGGAGCGTGTGGTGTGGGAGTTTGTGGAGGAGGAGGTGAAGGAAGGGTTGGCGCCGAGTGGCGGTGTTGAGGGTGGTGGAGGGTGGTTTCAGCGGTGGCGAACTGGAGTAGGGCGGAGCCGGTGGTTCTTAAAGACCTTAAATACATGCTATGTGAAGCAGAGAAAGCATGTCTTGCTTTTACAAACTGTTTCATGTATCTTTTTCTTGCCTTACACCTTGAAACCATCTCATCTCTCTCTAATCTTGAATAACAGCACCCCATTTCTCTCTCTCTCTCTCTCTCTCTCTCTGTCTTCAATCTTTCACTCAAAATCCCTTCTGGGCTTTTGTTAATTCCACAAGAACATCAAAGAGAACCCAAAATCTTGATCATTTTTAATCAAATCCCTTCTCTCTCTATATAACTATCCAGATGGTTAAGAGTTGAGGGTAGGGTAGGGTAGGGTAGGGTAGGGGGTCCAGTTCAGGGAAGGAGAAGAGGCAAGAAGACAAGTCTTGCACATATAAACCCTCACCTTCTGGTATTTTATGTATGTATCACATTCTCTCTCTGTGTGTGTATATATATATATATATGAGCTTCTGTCTCTATAGGTTTTGGTGTGGAGAGTAGTGTAGTGTAGTGGGGGAGGAGGGGCAGAAGAAGACAAGTCTTTTGAGAAGTACAGCAGAAACAGCACAAACAGTGTTGGGCAGAGTGCAAAAGAGAGGTTTATTTTGTGTTAATGACCAGAGTACCCCTATAAGAGGTTAAGTTTTACCATATACTCTTGTTGTTTATGATTCAGATTTTTTGAGTATGATCTCTTGAGTTGAGGTTAAAAGGGGTAGATTGGGTAAAGAGGGAAATTTGAAGGGGTTTCAAACCTTTGGTCTTCTTGGTTAATTTCCACTTTCATTATCGTTGTGGATGAAGCAACGGTTTTGGGAAATTGATAACAAAATTCACTTCTTAATATATTTACAATGTAATTTTTGTTTTAGGGGATATTTGCTGAATGATTTGGTGCAAAATAATTAAAATGTGAAAATGATTAAAAGACTCTCATTATATAGTATAAAATAAAATATAATTGTTTGGTAATTATTTACAATGAAATTAGGGTGATGTATGGTCAAGGGAGGTCATAATACAAAAACATTCAGATGTTTTTAAAATTATTAAGATTTATACTTTTTTTACCAAACAAGATTCGTCTTTCAACGATTCAGATATTGTCTCTTTATTGAACTATTAAGAGATAAACAAACAACCCTTTAATTAGATTTTATACTAGAATGATACTCGTACAATGCAGTGAGATATGTCTTTGATTTTAAGGTTTGGCTTTATCGATGTTATAATACGATTTTATGTGGTTTTGAGAAAAAGAAAATGTTTTTATTTTTGAATAAAATATAATTTGAAGATATTATATAATTTTGAAAAAAATAATCGATATCAAATTAACTATTTACAAGTTCTCGTTTTTGTGTAAATTTTTTAATTCAATTTTTTATTATGATTTAATTGATGTTAAAAAACAAACTAATTTATTTTTTGGTTTAATAAAATATATTTTTAAAAATAATAATTAAATATTATGTTAGAACTTAATGATTATTTTAATTATATTTTAAATTTTTAATATTTAAAACTATGTTTATCATGTATTTGATTATGTTTATTTGTAGTTAGTTTCACGAATTCAAGCATGGAGCTTTAATAAGATGTATTCATGCACATTCTACTTGTAATCTTGAATTGTAAGTAATATGCGTCAATAAACAGTATTTTATGTATAAAAATTTGTTTTTAAGATTTTTTACCAAATACTTTATAATATAATATATATAAATATTGTATAATAATCGGGTAAACAATTTAAGTATTAAGTGACAATTATATTGATGCATCGAACTATGCAACATATTATAAGTTATAACCTAACATTATTTGCTAATATAAACTTCTCATCCTAAACTTAGTTTTAACCTTTCTAAATTTAATTACGAATTTTAAGGTACTGACAGAAAAACATTTACAAGAGCAAGAAAGGGTCATTCATGAACCCTACCTTGTGATGAAGATCAACATCGTGAGCTTGTGTTTATATTTATGAAATGTGAATGCCTCTGCAACGCCTATTTGTCATAGATGGTAAGGATCACATGATTAGATACTCGGTGTCTGTATCTTCGAATGGACACATCGTTTTCCATGAGATTAGAGAAAATTTCATTCTTGACACGATTACTAATGTTAACGTCAATCATCTCAGCACATTTCAAGAGGCTGACAACCATCATGACCGATTTGCAACAATATCGTCATGTCGTCCTATATCGTTCCTGGCAAAATGTTTGTCCATCTAAGATCACACATTGAGCGTACTAACTTTCTAACAAAGCAAACCACTGTCAGGCAATTGTACGTTAAATCCAAATTTGGGCTTGAATTTGTACAAATTATCTATTAAATGTTGTCAAGAATCACTTGGTATAAAAGTGGAAAGCAAAATAATCAAAGAAACTGAAGCTTCAAATATGCATCAATGGTTGCTGAGTCTAGGTGAGAAGACAGCGATCTCAGTTACTCCAAGTTACTTCAGCGGAAATAAATTTTGGAAGTTTTAAATTACAACCTTACTGTATAAGCTGAAATGTCAATGATTGTATCACAGATAAGGGTTCTTGAGCGACCCTTTCCCCATTGCAGCTATAAATAAACTAAATTGTACAAATTTTAATAAAAAATACATGTATTTATATATAACTAATTTCATATTAAAGAAAGCAACATCAACGAATAATGTCAAGTTAAATACCACATTATTCGTCATATCACCATGATAAATTGATTAAAGGCGGTTTAAACCGATATTTGACATGTCACATCTTTTACGCCAAAATATATTTTATTAAATCTGCTACGTCATATTAGAATCATAAGAAAAAAATAAGTTACATTTTCATTCAATCTGCCTTCGATAAAATAGGTCGGTTGCTTTTATTTTATAAATATATTAAATGTAATTTATTAGAATAATATTTAGTTTTTAATAGAAACAAGTTTAAATCTTGCAAACGATTAGATATACGTAGAATTTTTTTAGGAGTTGCTCAGTTCAGGTAGATGAATGAAAATGGGAACGAAAATGAAAATGACATGGAATGTAAACAGGAATGAATTTGCGTTGATGGTGTTGTATACTGCTTTTGGAGATTTTATAAAAGGTTGAAATACACATCTTGCTAGAAATGAGTCTAAAACCCAATACCACCTATTCAAAAAACTCAGTACTGCAATACTTTGAGTGTATTAACAAGCCACATGATGCATTTTTTATCTGATTTATGTATTGCCAATGATAAGCATATGTTGGATCTATCAACAAAGTTCAAACTTTCCCATCTGTTAGTACCTGTAATTGGCAAATTTGGTGTGGCGATGAGTTATATATCAAGGAAGTTGAAGTCAAAACCTCTTTGTTTTACAATCTTTTGCATTTGGAAGAATTTAACAGAAGAATTATTGGGACTTGTGAATAAAAACGCGTAGCTATTGGTAGCATTATGATGTTTACTTCGATTGCTTTGCTCATTTTTTTCATTTTTTCTTCTTAATTTATCTTTTTGCAGTCGGTTTCAGCGTTTGCACCCATTGTAACTCCTGTCGGTTGTCCATGGGGCCAAAAGGCTTTCACAAACCATTTGTGAGACAATAAAGCTACTTGGGACGGTATAACAAGAAACAGGTTCTCACATTAGTAGCTCATAATATGCAGGAATATGATGCCACCTGCCTGATATCGAACTTCAATGATGTTGCACCCACAATGAGAGTATTTTTATGGGTCTTAAATGTGCATTCGCTTTAATTTGGTCATTTTGGTGTATGCTTTAGGTTAACAAAAGGTGGCTGCTACCTACTGGTAGTATCATTGCATGTGACATTACAATCGAATTCCTTTGGCCTTTTTTTTAAAATTTTTTTGTGGTAACAACTAACAACAGCAGAAAAGAATGAAAAATTCCACTTGGGTGTTGCAAAAAAAAAAACACATGCATGCTATTTTTAATTAAATCGTACATTTTATTAATTTTGTTTTATTTTGTAGTATGTTAAATTAATTTGTACCCTACTCAGAGAAGTTTCTGGATCTGTCTCTATCAACCTTATAAAATTTCTAACATTTCAATCCAAGGAGAGGATGACAAGTTGTTGCACGATACACAATTATTGTCAAACAAGGTGGACGAGGCATGTAGGAACGTCAAAGCTCCTCTCCTCTAGAGCATGCAGCCTGGTTACGATCACTCTTACTATTTCATAGACGATCACATCCGTCACCATGCTCAAGCTCATAATCCGTAAGGTTTTAAAGCATGCCCCTTGATCTTGTTATGAACATGATAACTTAGAACTAGGGATGGCAAAAAAAAAACGAAAACGATGGTGAAAACCGAAACTTTCGGACCGGGTTCGAGGACATTTTATTGGGGACGGGGCGGGGATCGGGGACAAATTCAGGGATTTTAACGGGACTCCGTCCTCGCCCGACCCGATGTGTGTATATATATTACTTTAATTTATACACATACATATATAATATCATTAAAAAAAATAGTAACATTAAAATTTAAAAGACTTTTATCTACTTTACCTCAATAACCCAAATAAGGCTCACAAAAAAAAATAGCGTATTTGTCTAATTGTGAAATCGTGATTTTAATTGTATGATGTTTGAAATCTTTGTTTAGTTTTATATTGTAATCTAATACATTGTTTGTAATTAGTTCGATTATGTTTAAGACATTTAAACTTACATCTTTAAAAAAATTGTAAACTACTTTTAGTTGTGAAAATTAACATATAGTAAAAAAAAATTTGATCGGTTTCGGGTTCGGTTATAATCAACGGTTAATGGGAAAAAAAGAATCTTTACCCTTAACGGGTTTCTCAACGGGGATCTGGGAAACCGCGGGGACCCGATAGGTCCCTGACGGTAGGGGTGCTCAAAAACCCAACCAACCTGATCAACCCAACCCAATGCGAAATAACCCAAACCGAAGCAATCTGATGTCTAATCGAGTTGTAAAATTATCAAACCATTGGTATTGGGTTGATATTGAGTTACTATTATTTGAACCCAACCCAACCCGATGAACCCGATATTCTTTTATTTTTTGGATTTTAATATAATTGTTGAATTTCTATTAATATATATATATATATATATATATATTAGACAATTACACTATCATGTATGCTTTTCATATACACATATTTTTAATCTATTCATATTTCTATATAACTCATTCATATATATATGTTCAGTAACTGTGAACATATATATGTAAATTGAGAAAATTAATTGAATGTGATATACATAAGAAAAATGGATAAGTTGTATCAAATGGTTGATGATGAAAAAGAAACTATGAGTAGAGAAATAACATATTCAAGGTCAGAATAATATTTTTAATATGCCAAAGTATCAACCGGTACGGATTGGGTTGGGTTAAGATTTTTCCAAACCGCAAGCATTGGGTTGGGTTGTTCAAATGTCTTCAACCCGATCAACCCAACCCATGAGCACCCCTACCTGACGGGGATCGAGGCGGTTACAGGACGGTTTTAGTTACCGGTTTCAAGGACGGGGATACCAATAACCGGCCCATTGCCATTCCTACTTAGAACTCGAGAGATGGGTTCGGCTTCTTTTGTCTGAATCTGATGAAAATGTATGGTTTTAGTATATTATGCATAAATCAGAAAAGATTGCACCTGGGCCATGTTTACTTAATGGTTGTAAGTGTTGTGAACTTGTCTATTGTTTCTTAGAAATGTTGTTGGTTTATTATCTTGATAGGTCAAGGCTTCTGAAATGTTATTCTATGGTTCAGTAAATTGGTACTTCTTCTGTGTCCACATGTTTATTTAACTTTGTCCCAAAAGGGTCGTTTACCGAAAGCTTATCTTACAAGATTATTTGATTTATGTGACTTTAGATTTTGCTTTTCATATTAAGAGTGACCCTCTATTTTTTTTTTATCAACTACATGCATCTTAGGTTAACTGTTAACATTACTATAATATGATAATATATTTTTTGCGGTGATGCTAGAAAACAGCTTAAACATCCACAAATTGGATTTCAAACCACAAATTAAAGGACTATTGTATTTTTTTTTACATCTCTCTGTATTGCATGGGTATACAACTAGTATAGATATAAATATAATTTTGTTGTGAAATATTATTTCATATATTAATATTGACATAAAATATTGATTGCGATGGGTGTTAAACCAAAGGCCTATTAGCTCAGTTGGTTAGAGCGTCGTGCTAATAACGCGAAGGTCGCAGGTTCGAGACCTGCATGGGCCACTTATATTTTTCTACTCTATTTACATAAGAATTTCATAAAAGACCCTGAAATAAGTTAAATTGTCATTTCCAACCCTTTGAGAAAACGTCATGAAAAGTAAAACTTACAGTCCAAAGCAAACGGCCTATTAGCTCAGCTGGTTAGAGCGTCGTGCTAATAACGCGAAGGTCGCAGGTTCGAGACCTGCATGGGCCAGATTTATTGTTTTTGTTTATTTTCCTGTAAATTGCATAAAAGTCCCTGGAGTAAGTGAAATTTGCAAATTAAAAACCCTGTTTCAGATCAAACCCAAAAGTTTGACAAAATTACAGTATTAACCCTTTTATGTCATTTTCATGCTTCTCTTTTATCAACTTGTAATCGTAACCAATTAATCGTATGATTTCTTTGGAAACCATAAGCTAGATTGAGACACCAATTCAGTTCGCATATTGCAATTGTTTGTTTATTTACGTTTTTCAGAACAATATAATCGTAAAAGATTTGGACCAGGGACAAATCCAGAACGAGAGACATTTTCGTCCTTTTATCGATTTTTTGGTCTTTTACTTAAGAGTAAACTACAATTTTGGTTCCTATGGTTTACACGAATCTCTGAAAAGTGGTCCGTAGCTTTCAATAACTACAATTATCATCCCCATTGTTTACAATTTGTTTTGAAAATCGTCCATCGATTTAACTTTGTTAAACTTTACGTTAAGTTTAGGGGTATTTTTGTCTTTTTTTACTTTTAAAGGGATAAGTTGTACAATTTTGTTTAAACAAGAAGGACCAAACTCTAATTTACTTATGTGTGTGTCAGTATATGAAGGCGGGTGGCGTGTAGGGATGGAAACAGGACGGGGTATTGGGCGAGCAATGCATCCCGTCCCGACTCCCGTTTAGCCCCGACCCCGACTCGTCTAATCTCCAACGGTTATGGGGGAAGGAATCCCCGATGGGTTTCGAGAATACATTGGATACCCGTTTAGTAATAAATGACGTATTTTAAAATTAAAATTTTAAAAAAATTATTACTATATTGATTAACAATATTGAAAAACAAATATATTTGTCATTTAATAATAAATATATATATTTATACACACACTATATACATTTATTAAATAATTAAAAAATAATCGAGTAAGATTAGAGGCGGATAATGAGATCCCCGACCTTGCCCTGACCCCCGTTTCCGGTATGAAATTAGATCCACGTCCCTGCCCTGTTACCCGTCAAACCGGGGAATCCCCGTCCCGTTAGGGTCGATAGCCTTGGGTACCCGCCCCAACAGGTAAAACTTCCATCTCTAGTGGTATGTAGTCCAAGGATGGACCCATGAACTTTTTTCAAACGACGACACCATTTGACTATAAGAAACAAATACGAGGAAAAAATTTCAAACAACGACATCACTTGATTAAGAAAATGACATTACAAGATTCGAACTCGGGTCTGGGGTGAAAGAAAAGCCTTGCAAACCAACTTTACAAAAAAAAAAAAAATTGCTATCATTTTAGTTTCATAATATAAGGCGACACCCAACAAATTAATACGGTTGCACATTTCACGAAAGTAGATTTTTTACCTTTCGATGAAGGAATAAATACAGTAACACCACTGTAGGTCCGTGTCTGGTGAAGTCGATCGCCAAAGTGATGAGGGTGGGCAACCTGGAACCTTGGTGGAGGAAGAACAAAGAAAGAGAGGGAACGATGGTTACAGATATGGTAACTTGGAATCTTGAAGCACCAGCTACCATGGTTATAGATTTGGTAACCTGTAACCTCTAATATGGTAAAGGGAAGAATGGTGTGGGAGAGCGAGAAGAGGTGGAGAGTCGGGGACGAAGTTGGCCCTGGGAAGGGGGTTACCGAAGATGAGTTGTCGACAGTGTGGGAGGCTGTCGATGGGTGAAGAAAGAAACCGTTCGAAGGAACGATTTTCAAAGTAAAAATGTAAATAGTAGGGATGATAATTGAAGTTTAGGGACCATTTTCATAGATTCATGTAAGCCACAGGGATCGAAATTGTAGTTTATTCTTTACTTAATTAAAAACCACAAGGTGCAAAATCATAAAGTAGATTTTGATTGGATAAAAAGATTAAAAAATCTGATAAGAAATATAGGGACCAAATTTTCAGTTTACTCTTTATTTTATCTTCATTTGAATAAATGGAGCCAACTTCCTTTCTGGGTGAAAATGGGTCAACAGAGGAGGGGAAAAATTGCAAGAAGAAGAAAGCATAGGTGACGGAGATGCGATGGAGGCTTCAAGAAAAGAAACCCAGCGTTTTCGTCGTGATTCATTCTGGAGATTGAGCTTAAAGCAGGTCCTATAATGGTTGTCAGTTTATGCAAACCTTATATGTTCTTATTTACTCCATGTAATACATAGAATGTTGTGAATTGTTCATTTTTTACACTATATACTTGAAGAATCCCACCTAGTACATGTTTAGAAGATGGGGAAAAAAGCATCAGGAAAGAGCTTAAGAGGTTCTTGACTGGATCATAAATAGCGCACCAGTTGTTTGTAACATTGTCAATATGGGGATTTGCTAACACACCCTGAAAAAGGGAGACCAGACGTTTGCAATATTGCAAGTATGGAAAGTTGCTAACCCCCACCCCCTATTTGACAAACTTTGATTGGAATTTTTCTTGAACTTCAAGTATGCAAATCCCAGAGGTGGGAGAACTAAGACTGTCAAAGTGCAAAAAGATGCCACACTTTTTTTTTTCTTTTTCCCGATTTGTAGGTTTAATTTCACAGATTACTAGAAAATCATGTTGTCATTGTATATGTTTATAGAGACTACCATTTATATAAGAATTGGGAAAAAGAATTGTTGGATCTGCATAGGTCCCCTTCTGAGTCCCAAAACCAACAATAGTGGGTTTATTTTTTGCATCCCAAACACATGATTCTGTTATTCAGATCTTTTACTTGTATAGATTGATAACAGCATGATGTCAATCATCGGTTTAGCATAAGATTTCAWAGTATTAGTAACCTCTGAGTACTTGGCCACCAGAAACAAAAGAACTATGCATTTATGATATTGGTTATGTCAAAACTCTGCTCCTGTATGCTACTGTTTCTGCTATACCTTGATACAATACAACTGTTATTGCTTTTAAGTTGTCAAGTAGTAGATTGTTTTCTGCTGCTTATTATGTGAGAATTAGGTTGTAACTTAGTTAACGACAAAATGGTGGAAGCCATAAGCTTGCAGTCTATCGGTTTTGTTAGATATGCATCCATGCCCACCTCTAAGCATTTGGCTTCATCTGATGACATGGCATGGGCTGTCAATGCAACAATGGGAATATGCAACTCCGTTCCCATTTCTGCTCTTCGAATTGCTTTAGTCGCTTCATAACCATCCATCTTTGGCATCTGGTATTTCAATTAGATGGAACAAGTCAGAAGCTACCACATAAATTTAAATACTTCTTACTATGCAGTTTTCTAATTAATTTACTTTCTTATGTCATAAATCCAATTCACAATCAGTTTGGTTTTTGACATCATGCTGCACGTTCTGGTAGCTCTTTATGTGTAAGCATGGATCACACACGTGGGGTGTTAAAGCTTTTGATGGGTGGCAAAAGGTTGATTTCGGAGTTCCAAAGCTTGGTTTTGACGCTGACACTTGAAAAGATTGTGTTTAGTCTATGTGTTGACATGGAGAGCATTTTAATGTTAAGAAGTAGTTAAGTGTATCTGTGGACATAGGGTTCAAGAATGTCAGTGTCCAAGATGCTCCACATATATTAAGGAAGAGTAGCAGGGGTTTAATTGTTACCATGCATTGCAGCTTTTTTCTCAAACTATGACAATGTTAATGAGACTTCTACTTCAACATCTTGACGTGTATTTTGGATTTCAGCGGTTCAAATGTTGAAGGAAATGATGCACAGTTCTAGTGGTTATGGGTGGATGAGGCTTTTGGTGTTATGGGCCATCTGTAACTGTTTTGAAAGCTCATAAGATACTTACTGAAGGAGGATGTTAACTATGGTTGAAAGGGTCTAGTTCTTACTTTATTGGTGTTAATTGCTCTCTTGTCATCTTATAGCACATGCCTTGGTTGAAATATTTGGTTGTTCTACCACTGGAATATCTGTACGTGTGTTTTGATTTTGAACTACTAAAAATGAGGGGAGTTATTTTGTGGAGAATCCTTTAAAATAAAGAGAGGACAGGAAGGAAAAGGATTGGAAGCATAGGAAAACTTGTAATTACCTGACAGTCCATGAGTATCAAGTCATACGGTGGAGGGTCACGTATTTTTGTTTGAGTTGTCGTGCCACCTTCCAAAGGTGATTCCTTACATTTATCTGCCTCATGCAGAACCTGTAGAGCTCCAACTGCCTGCAGCCCATCTCCTACAACCACAACTGTAGCGCCCATCTTTTCGAGCATTATAGTTGCCACTCTCTGGAGTATTGGTGTATCTTCTGCCAGCAAAATGCGTACGCCTTCAAGAGACTTCTGTCCATTCATGGCCTTCGCTGCATATTGAAAACCTTTCTCTTGAGAACCACCACCATTCATCAGTTCCACAGAATTTGAGTTATGGCTTGAAGAGACAGCCACTGGAAATGTCTCGTTCATGTCCAACTTCTTCCGCTCTGAACAGACTTCAGTTAGCTCAAGAAAGCAGTCGTTTACAGTTCCATATCGTGAAGAAGAAAGTACGCGTTGTGTTCCTTCAACCTGAAAATTGCCTGATGAATTGATTTCTGACTTTTCAGAGCCGTTTGAACTCTCCAAATCTGAATGTATAGGATCAATTTCAAGACATTCATGTGCTTCTCCTCCAACAATAGCATGTCTCAGAGAAATCATTTTCCTCTGCTGCTCAAGACAACTTTCTTTTATGGCAGCTTCCATTATCTGAATCATTTTTGCCCTGTATAATGGTTCATTTACCATCAACAGATGTCCTCGGTTATGAAGCTCCATTTTGATGGTATTAGAGGTATCATGGTTTAGAACCCATGCAAACTTTGCTCTCCTATTAAATTTATCTAGGAAATTGAGCTGTTCCTTCCATATATCCGTGCTTATATTGAGTAGTCCAATATCAATGACTACGATGAAAACCGAGGCCTCCATCTCTTGCTTGCTAATTGATTCAACCTTTAAACATTCATACGTCAAGTTTTGGGCATAACGTGTAGGTATAAAGAGCTCCTGAAGTATGTGTGTCAGTTCATTCCATTCGGATGCGTCCCATGTGGGCACTCCAATTTTAAATAGCCACCGGGACAAAATCACTCTACCCATACTTCCATTTAGTGCAAGAACTACCTGCAATTACGTTTGAATACCCTCATAAGAATTTAGTTATAGTGAACCAATAATCTTTCCTGAAACCAATACTCCTACAAACTTACAGTTCAGCCAAGTTCACTTTTATATTCACCCCAGGTCTATATGTGCTTATGCATGTTTAATGTTAAAATGAGGAGAAGAATCAATGGATCAAGAGTGAGAGACCTGCACCGTTCTCTTGGAAATATGCAGTGGGGGAACACAAACATGCTTTTACTGGAAAACTATTACAGGGGTACTTATTCATAAATTGCGTGCTTCCAATTATCTATGTTTCAATATGGTGGCTACTGCCCCTGTGAAGTGGCAAGTACAAGAAGAAAAACTTTGCTCACCTTCAAGTTATGATCTGCATACTTTAACTTGTAGTTGTCTTGTGGTATATCTACAGGTGTACCGAGTAGCAGATAAAGTTGCATTAGAGTCCCTGGTCCATTCTTCTTGACAACTCTTATTTGCCCACCCATCTTGTTAACCTGTCAATACATGAGATAATATTTTTCAGACCTACAATAAGGTGGGTTGTATCTGAGAAACTGAAAATCACTTTCTTTACATCAAGGTATCTTGTATGTTTCATGTGGTTCATTAGTTGCAATGAGACTGAGATAACTATGGAGTTAAGCGTCATTACAGGGCCCAAAACACATGCATTGAGGCACATCTAGGTTGCTGCAAAAACTAACTTATGAGAAAGACTACCCTTTTGTACTACTTAGAGTTACCAACTCCGGTAAATATGTCCTACATGAAAAATGACATTTTATCATTTTCTTGTTCTTCATCAATGCTGTGTTGATGTAGATCTTTTGATGTGGTAATGTAATTACTGCTCAGAATGACCTTTTATCTCACCAGGGTTCTAACGATGCATAGTCCAAGACCAGTTCCACCATGCCTGAGATGGTTAAAAAAATCAAGAAAGGTATACAAACTGTCGACTAGAAAATATGGATCGTTACAAATTTGATGTCATAAAGAAGATAAGGTGTGTATTGTTGCTTACAGTCTAGTTGTTGATGGGTCAGCTTGTTCAAAGCTTTCGAATACTGATTCCCATTTGCTTGGATCGATGCCTATACAACGGAAAAAGATAAAAGATAATGAAAATAGCATTGTCCTGTGGTTGATGAAAAGAAATAAAAAAAGCAAATATAATGTTCATTCATTGATAAAAGATTAGGCGCTACAATGAGAGTCAAGGTCCATACCACAGCCAGTATCATCAACTTCAAACCAAAGAATCACTTTGTTGTCCTTGCAGGATCTTTTCTCTTGGCTTCCCTGTCTTATCAGTTTATTCTTGGGTGCAGACCATGGAGCTTTCCGATCGAGGGGAAAATTCTCATCATCAATAAAAGAACGTGGATCTTCACACCATCCCCGCAGAATAATGTATCCTGCTGTAAGTGAATTGATAATGTTAAACTCTGCAAGCTAACTTTGAAGCTTCAAGCCCAGCCGGGTTTACCCAAAATTATTGGAATATCCTCAAACTAACCTAGAGGCCCTCAGTTGAAATTCCACTTCGGGGTATTGCCCACAGAATTAACCCGGGTGTCAAATGGGTGGACTGCATGAACTTCACCCTATCGAGTGTCGTTTCATGGGCCTTTCTACAAACGAGCTTTTAGTTTCAAATTATAGTTATCATTTCACTCTTCTTTGCAATTCTATCCATATCCAATAAGGAAGTAAAGCAACATATAACCCTTATGTGTTCATGATACTGCATCCACCTACTATATTTTGGTCTGGAACCCTATTGCTGCATACCTAAAGGTGATGTATGATATTCTGAAAGGCTATACTAGCAAGTGACCTTGTACTTATTGGCTCTTCTAAGGTACACCTTTCAAAGTTTATGGTAGGAAAAATGAAATGAAGCTGGGGATGTGGGTGGGGGGTTCACAACTAGTGTACACACTATTTTAGCTTTTGTAAGTGAAGTGACTTTTTGGATTTCCTCTCTACCCAAGTAAAGACTGTTTTGACACCCCATTCGATAGATATGAAGCTTGACGAAGTTATCTTGGGAAAATTGCACTTACATGTCGTAAATTTGATAGAATTGCTGATTAGATTAGCAAAAATCTGAACAACTCTAGCGGAGTCCCCTTGAACTACTTTCGGCATGTCATCTGATCATAAAGGACAAAAAAACAGATTATTAACCGTTAAGTTGACACATCATTTGATAGGCTGGGTCCCAGGCTTAACTACTTAGCATGAAATTCTTATGCTGATATGGTAATACCAGAGAGATCTATGACTGTTTCGACATTGTGGTTTTTGCACTGGACAGAGAACATATCGACTAGTCCTTCAAGTTCTCGCCCCATGTCAAACTCTGCTTCTTCCAGCACCAGTTTTCCTGATTCAACCTGCATGTAATAATTGTGTAAATATAGCTTAAATATGATGAGCATCATTAATGAACTCCTAAACAAATTTATTTTTGGAAGAACATGTGTCATTAGCATAGTTGGTCCATTAACAGTTATGTGGGTTGATTGTTTGACCTTTGCTATAAGCTATAACTTCTAAGATAATTGATTGTTCATCTTGGAGAAATATCATAGTTTAGCATAGGCTGTTTTACGAGAGTTCAATTGGTTAATTATAGATTGGGTGAAGGACGAGCTAAAAATATAATTGCTTGGCGATGTCACCTTGCTAATATCCAAAATATTGTTGAGAAGCCGAAGGAGAGCTGTTGAGCATCTACGAATTTGGCTGATTGTTGCATATTGCTCATTGGTGAGACATTCGTCAGACATAAGAATGTCCAGCAATCCTATGACTGCCGCCATTGGTGTTCTCAGTTCATGACTGTTGAACGGAAACATGAAAACCATGAATTGCAAATCTAGAACTATGCATGCTCAACATATCATCTATATTACTCTCCCGTATTTTGACTAGAACAGAGAGGCCATGATTTTGGATTTTGTAGTATTCCGTGTACTTTCGATTTGTCTGTATATTTCATAAAGGGAAATATTCATAGGGATCATTTTCTTGGAGTAATACTGCATGAGCTAAACTTTATACTCTATTTCATGAAAATTGCGTCGAATTGGCCTTAAATTTAAGTAAATGTCATATATTCAAGAAAGGAAAAGTTGCAATTTTCAGGGACATTCCAAGAAGGAACGTGTTGCACTTTCTATGGATGAAGGGAGTGTTATTTAGGATGCATCCTCTATAGGAACATCTTTGATCTCTATATTTGAGTAGCATATGTGTTATAAGTTCTTGAAAAGTAAACATCTTTACACTTGATTCATGACCCAAGGACTCATAGTGGGCTATTTTTCTTCTAACAAACACTTCAGGGAACCCTGGAAGTAATTTTTCCTTCAGATGATAAAGAAAGGATGAACATTTTTTTGGTGCTTTATTGATCCAACTCTAGTTTGGTGTGAATTTCTAGAAAATGTGTAAAAGGAGAAAAAAAGAAAAAGATCATGAATATTCACCTCATGTTTGCTAAAAATTGGCTCTTGTAGTTGCTGGATGCCTCTGCCTTCCTTCGTGCATCCAAATGGCTAATTAGTTCCGCCCGTAGCTTCATTTCCTTTGACACTCCATTTGTTAACACGAAAATGCAAACACATCCTATAACTAGTATACATACAGATGCAGATATCAGTATCATCAACGTCTTAAAGGCTCTCTCATCCACCTTCCCCATTATGTATTTCCTTGGAATAATGAGAACTCCCACCTGGAAAATTTACTGCTTTGTGAGTATCTTGTGACCAATGGTGTACATAAATAATACATATATAAACACATACATAACTGGAAGAAAAGGTAACGTTGAACACCCAAATCTTGCATTTCTAGGATTCATGAAGAATAATACAGATTAACATCTATTAATAGTTATATCATAGTGAAACATACCATAGGAAGCCTTTTTAGGTTCAGGAAAAACGAATCAATGTAATAGAGCTGGTTGCCTAGCTTCGCATTCTCTATGTGAACCTCATGGTTTGGGGGGGTTTTGTTCCCATACGCTTTGAGCAGCCACTTAGCTCCAGTTTGTATGACCTGATCTTGAGAGTCTACAGCCATCATGAGCTTTGGCCCTGTTGATGAATTCCTCAACAATGGAGTAGTTGAAGAAGTGGCTAGCAACCAACCCTCTTGGGAAGTCAAGTAAATATGTCCACTGTGAAACCCAACGAGTTCCTTCATAAGCTGGCCTACACTATAAAGGGCGGTGGTCACGCCCACAACCGCCACTATACTTCCTTGAGATACATCCCGAACTGGCATCGCTGCAGAAAGCAAAGGCGAATGTGTAAACTTGCTCACAGCTACATGCCATGAAGCTGCACCGTATGGTACCTGAGAAATCCCTGCTATATTGATTAATTCATCCGGAGGAATTGCCTTTTGTTTTCCAATCTTTTCACCGGTGTCGGGATTCAGTGGCTCTCGATACCAGATTGCTGATATGTTACTATGAATCGTTTGATCATTCCATCCTTGATGAGATGATGATGATAAGTTGACATCATAAGGTCCAGTCATTGTGTAATTGGTAAGATCAGAGTATATGTAATATGTACTATTATCTCTAGGATCTCTATGGAAGGCCTGAACAAAGCCGTTCTTATACTTTATTGTTATCGAATTGAGAGCTTTGTGACTTGCGAATAGCGCCCATGTGACATCCCTCATAACTTCATATAGCTGATAAAAAGAGTTTCAAAATTTTCATTAGCTTACTATACATTTGAGACAAATATAAAAATAGGATTGACATAAACCTCAACTTGCTGTGCTTGGTTTTCAGGTTTGCTGTATTTTCTGATCACATACTCAGAGAGCTTAACTTGAGCTGTTGTTATTTCAACAGTCGAATTCAAGATGCCCCACATGCGTAATACTGGACGCTGCAAGAGTTCATACCGAAGGCCATACGCTAAAGCATTTAACGATGTTCTCGTGTACACTTTAGTGAAATGCCAGGTGAGAAGTGTTAGCAGACCTATAAGAATTGCCAACATTACCTGCACAAATAGAAACCATCATAAAGATTAGTCTTTTCTTTGCCTTTTACAAATGAAATTCTCATTTTTACTTTGTGAGGGATATATTGAAATAAGCTAAGTACATGTATTCGATTTTATATTGATCATTCTATGAAATCAGAGTCGAACCATGATGGCAAGCCGAGCTACAAAGACGCTATAGTATGAAGACAGACAATTGGTGTATGTGCACTGGAGTTCTTCTTGTTCAACATCCCTGTGTTGACCTTTCCGCCTGCAAGGTGAGTGATTCTTTTCCCATGAACTTACAGCAGCATGAATTCTGTCGAAAACCCGTCTTCTGAAAGATGTCATTGATGTGTCTGGAAGTGGTGATGATCCAGAAATCACATACCTTCTTTTGTTTTCTTTATGTGCTATTTTGTTCTCCTCAAACTATAAACTAAGAAAGAACCCACCATGAAACTTTAGCTAGAAGTTGAACCAAGTAAAAGAGGTTAGTTCCTGAAGTGGGGTGTTGTCTACTACATATGGTGCCACTTCCACTATTTGGAAGGCCACCATTTTAGATTTACTTTAAGTAAAGAGTGGGGACATGTAGTTTTTCGGTCACTTATTCCTCATCCACATTTCAACTTTCCTTTTTTAAATTGCTTCTCCCATATCTAGAGGTCGATCGACTATAATATACTGTTCGAAGTTGATTCTCGCGTCTACCAAAACAAAACCGGATTCGATATCTTAACCTTAGCAGTAGGGATCAAGTGGTAGTTGATCAATATCTTTCGGTTATTCGACATAGGGGGAAGGTAAAAGGATCTGAAATGGTGCAAATGGAAGTTACAGTTGAGGGGAATACAAGATGCCTTTCCCATAACTATTGTACTTGAAACTACTGAATAGAGAACCTGCAAACCCTAAACACAAACCCATTGATCTTTGAGTTTTGACAGTTTTTTAGTGAATAATCTGCATTTACCAGCGACCACAGACACAAAGCCAGCACCTTCTGGGACCCTTTGATTGGGGTTCCCATTGATAAATAATAATGGGGTCATTTGGAATTTTCTTTTATGTTGACAGAGAATCAAATTATTGGTCTAAGATGCAAGAATCAGGAACCCATGCAGAGCTGTCTAACTTTCCATAGATGGGACACCTTCCCAATTTCCCCATTGGATCAACTTCACAAATAAGGATGCATTCTTGTAGCTATTAGTGCCTTTGGCATCTTTAGTTGTAGTTTGAGAATTATTGCCATTAACCGTAGTACCACCAATTATGCGATCTGGTTAATTTACGAAAACACGCATATGTCCATGGATTGGTTACAGTACAAATGGGTCAATCAGCCAGGCTTCAAATTCCTATTTTAGTATGAATAATGCTTAAAAAAGGCCATCCCAAGACACTGCATTTAGAAGTAGAACCTTATTGGGTGGACCTACACCTCTGCTTTCTCTTTTTTGGTTCCTTTTTGCTCTCCATCAAGAGTTAATCAAAATGTCATTGATCCAACAGTATCCGGATCACCGGTAAAAACCCATCAATGGTTTATAGGTGGTGTGACTATTTATTGTATATGGATATTATATACTTGAGAAAAAGTTAACCGTCCTGATGCTTGGAAGTTGGAACTATTACTGTGTGAAATGGTATCTAACAGACTAACACCACTTTGTAACCATTTTCTTGAAATACCTTTTTTATATGTAACTGAAGCTTAATTTGTATTGGATTTACTGGCTTCGTTTGATATTTACTGATGGATGGATGTCATGTCAGTTTGTGGAATTTGCATGAGAAAGGGTGATGGAGATGATGTGGTCAAAAGGAATGAATACTCATAGAAGGAGACAAAGCATGGAGGTGTAGATCTTTGATTCCCAATCTACAACCACCCACTTTTCCTTTAGATCTGAATTGTTCTTTTGAAGCTCTAAATGCCTATGATCTGCTCATTTTGTTTTTCTGAAAGATGGAATAAACTTTATTAAATCCTTTATTTTTTTAATAAATAAGAAACTTTTTCATTTTAAATGATTAAAATTTTAATTTTTTTAATAAATAAATTATATAATTTTTAGAAATTGATTTGACACATAATTTTATCCGAAATACACACATATATATAGGGGGTAAATTAAATGAGAACCATAAAAATGTTTCAAACCTGTGGGAATCGATTTTAAAATGACTTTTTACATGAGTTTTCTCATCAAATGCTAGGATTTAAGATATTGTTTCAAATATATTTGTTTCATAATGTGATAGTTTCATATGTATTTGTTTCACTATGAGAATATTTTTTATGTAAATTTTTTAAAAAAAGAGTTTCACATGTAATTTTTCATAAGGTGAACACAAACATACGTGAAACAATATCTTAATTCATAGTTTTGATAAAAAAATTCATATAAAAAACATTTTTATGGCAATTCTCATGAGTTTATAATATTTTTGTAGTTCTCAGTTGATTATCACCCTCTTATATATATATGTATGTATATATATATATATAGACACACATTTTCAGTATTATATAAATATATTTATTTATCTAGTATCTTTTGAAAATCTTAAATCCAAGTCGTTCGTACTATTTTCTAAATTTACCATCAATCCTCTCAGTCAGTTGAATATATATTATTTGCTTTATAACTATATATGAACTCGAAGCAATATTGAATCTGAAACCCCAAATTCGGGGTTTTGTTTCTATCTCTGAAATCTGATCGGATTTTTGGTTTGTCCATCAAAACTTGTCCGATACACATCCTAATGATACTTAGGCATTTTTTAGCAAAAATAAGCTAACCTATTTTCTAGGTACATGTTTGGATGCACGTAACCTAGTTTATAAGCTAGCTTATTCTACTTGGAGTAGCGTTTCGATAGCTTATTGTCATTTTTTTCAATTATAACCCTCATTAATATTATTATTTATAATTATTAATTATAAATAAATATAATAAATATTACTAATATAAATATATATTAATTATTAATAAAGATTAATTAATTTTAAGTATATATATTATACATTAATATCATTTACTAATTATTAATCATATCAATTGGTTTTAATGATTATTCAATATATTAGTCATAAAAACACAAATATAAAATTTTAATAATGTTTATGTAACAAACTTATACTTATTTTGTTTCATAGATTTTTCTAAAATTTGTTTTAACAACTTCAAATATTAAAACATATATAATAATCAATTTGAAATCTCTTTAATCAAATATATTATATATTTTTATTTTTCACTATCATGTCTGTATTAGTTAATATATTATATATTAGAGATTTGTTTCAATTATATTTGAAATATTATAATTGATTAATTTTTTAAAATGTCATTTTTGGTCATTTTACATTCTTATCAACTAGTTTTATCAAACACGATTTATTCATCAACCAGCTTATCGGCTACCAGCTAACTTATCAGCCATCAGTTGTCATCTAGTTTATCAGTTAGTTTGCCGAATATAACCTTGTATTATCTATAGCTTGTAATTATTTTTTTGTCTTGCACTTATTTAGGTTGGAATTAATATTACTCTAAGAAGATTGAACAAAGGAGATGTTATATACATCTCTATTTATGTCAGAATCAAGTTAAATCATGTATTGAAAATGTAAAAAAATAAGTCTTGAAATTGATGTTTAAAAAATGTGGAGTAAGGGTTTTATTTTAGATTTTTAAATTATTAAAAAAAGAAAGTAAAAAAGATGAACATGTGAAAAAAAGGGAGTTATCGAGTACGGGTATGTTCTCATCTTGATAGATGCCACTTACAACTACTCAAAATTATTTTTCAATGGTTTGTTTCGGAGATTTAAAACTTGATGCTACACGCAAAAACTTTATTCTATTTTTTAATAATATATATTTATATAAAAATACGTATATTATTTTTGTTTGATTAATTTGGAATATATGAACGAGGGTGAAAACAACTTAGGGGCTGTTTACCAAATGTTTATCGGTAAGCGGTTATCGATAATAGTCATCGCCCATATTTATTTGCCTTATCAGATAACAATCTCAACCATCAAAATATATTACAAGGTAAGATTTTTGGTCCTTGTAATGCTTCTTACCGAGTAAGGTTCTCGATCCTTATCATACTTACCCGGTAAGGTAAGTGACACCTATAAGTGTTTCGTGATCAACCCACTTACCCTGGTAAGCACGGTAAGAGACGATAAACATACTGTAAACAACCCTTTAGTCAGACATAAATTATTTATTTAATTATTTATGTTAGATAATTTAGTTTAAGCTAGATAAAAATGATGTAATTAATGTTATTTTTCTTTTTCTTTTAAAATAAAGTATTAAAAGTTAAATTTTTAAAAAAAAATTACATCCAACTCCGACTCCAATAACTACTTTATTTTTAGAACTCAGTAATTATTTTAGATTTTTTATATATAAAATGATATGTTTATTTTGTATTTAATTATGTTTATCTATAGTTAGTTACAAACATAGAGCTTTAATAAGTCGTATTTACGCACAATCTACTTGTAATCTTAAACTTTAAGTAATTACATCAATAAACAATATTTTATGCATAAAAATGATTTTTAAGAGTTTTTGTCAAATGTTTTACAATATACCATAGATAATTGATAAATTTTAAACAAATCATGTTAATTAGATTTAAAAAACAATTTTTTTTTTGTGTGTGGAGGGGATCATACCTGTTGGTAGCTGCTTCAAAAACAGCTTAACAACATTGTCCTGGAACTCAAAAAAATCTATGAGAGTGTAAATACAAGTTATTTTGTTCTTGCATTTTCAGATGATTAGCCACACTGCGATTGAGACTCAACCTAAACGCTCGTCGGGGCAGTAGTAGGGAAAATATTTAATTTAAATTTATTTTATCCGTGAGGACCTGGATGACAAGAAACTCTTATGTCCGGTTTCAAACTGGAGATGACAAGAAACTCCAGAAATTAATAACTTTGTCTAAGACAACCTTCGGTTTTTTGGCTTGTGCTTGCCTGGCTTAGCCAGTAAAGAACAATTCCATCTCATTAACAGTGAGCGTTTTTACTCATACTGTCATACACATATCAGAGAAATACTGATATGCGTATACAACATGAACTTGCAAAATTAAAATGATTTAATATTATACATAAAGATGTATAATATTTTATATAAAGTTATGTACAACCTAAGAATTGCTATTTATTAACTTTTTTAAATACAACTCACTCAAAAAGTACTTGGTACTATCAATTAAATAATTAGTGAGTGGCACATATTTTTTGTTAAAAAAAATTCGATTTTAGCTCATTTTTTAAACTATACTAAATACTAGTATTATATTTTTTAAGTTATATATATATATATATATATATATATATATATATATATATATATATCTATACTATATTATAAAACATTTGACAAAAACTTTTAAAAACCATTTTTATGCATAAAGTACTGTATATTGATGCATATTATCTCAAATTCAAGATTATAAGTAAATTATGCATAAGTATAACTTATTAAAGCTCCATGTTTAAATTCGTATAACTAACTACAGATAAACATAATCAAATAAAGGATAAACATCTCATTTAAAAATATAAAAAATCTAAAATATAATTAAGATAATTATTGAGTTCTAACATAATAAATAATTATTATCTTTATAAGAAAATTATATTATTAAACCAAATATAAATTACTTCATTACTGAACCTAAATTAAATTATAATAAAAAAATTGAACTAAAAAATGCACAAAAAGTAGGAATTTTAAATGGTTAATTTGATACTAATATTGATATATTTTAGTCAATTTTTTGTGATATTTTCAAATTTATATTTTATTCAAAAATAAAAACATTATCGCTTTTCCAAAATCATATAAGACCATATTATAACATCGACTGAGATAAAGAATAAAATGAAATATTAAAATCAAAATGCATCTCGATGCGTTGTATGAGTACCCTTCTAGTATATATTAAATATGGGTAATGAGATGAATTTAAGAAAGAACACTAATAATAAAACTGAAAGAATATTTATCAGTCATTAGATGTAGAGAATAAATAAATCAGATTGGAATATAACTTCTCATACGGGTCTTGATTTAGTTTTGTTACGACATTTTTAGATGGTTCCTTGTTCGCCTTTTTTCAGTGTTTTCCATAGAATCCATCGTTACTGGTAATTATATAAGTGAAATAGGGAATATATGATATTTTGACTTATATAAAAGGACATATTTAATGAAGTATGGTCGAACTATGTCCAATTAAAAAATCGCACATTGATTGTTACGTGTCATGCAAAAGAAACGATCATTAATTAAGTTTTTTCCGATATGATTCAATTTAATTTTTCATCATATCCAATTTTCGTAAAAACACCGTTAGATTGAAACTTTATATAATCTATAAAAAAAAATTACATCGAATTTTCAGGACCGTTCTTTAGCATGTTAAATATGTGATCTTGTTTAAGGTCATTTATCAACGAATGTAAAAACTATATCACACCCTCAGTGCCACTTTAATTTCTATTAGAAAACAAAACTAATACACCATATCCCGTTATCTTGCCTCTGTGATTTGTATGTATGTATTTTTATTATCTCGTATTGCAGTGTAATCGAAAGTTTTAGGTGTAACTAGGTCCCCCAAAAAAGTTGGAACGTCCCTGTGAACTTTAACAACTTTTCATTTTAGAGATTACAAAATTAATTAATTTTTAAAATTATTTCATATATTTAATAAAATATTATTTCTCCCTCATAAACATTTAGTTTCAATGTGTCTTGTTGGTGTGACTATAAATAACTGGTAATCATTTTTGGAAGGTTCTCTGGATCTGAAAATTTTACTCTCTTTCCTACTTTTTTTTTCATTTTAGAAATTAAAAAAAATCTTTGGAATAAAAAATCTATACAAAATCTCCGAAAAGACGTTTGGTTTGATAAAATGGTTTTCAGAAATTTGGATTTTGTAGACAGATTTGGAATCAGAGAGATTT